ATTAACACACGGTGGGTTTAACACACGGTGGGTTGAACACACGGTGGGTTGAACACACGGTGGGTTGAACACACGGTGGGTTGAACACACGGTGGGTTTAACACACGGTGGGTTGAACACATGGTGGGTTGAACACACGGTAGGTTTAACACATGGTGGGTTTAACACACGGTGGGTTGAACACACGGTGGGTTGAACACACGGTGGGTTGAACACACGGTAGGTTTAACACACGGTGGGTTGAACACACGGTGGGTTGAACACATGGTGGGTTGAACACACGGTAGGTTTAACACACGGTAGGTTTAACACACGGTAGGTTTAACACATGGTGGGTTGAACACACGGTGGGTTGAACACACGGTGGGTTGAACACACGGTAGGTTTAACACACGGTGGGTTTAACTCACGGTGGGTTTAACACACGGTGGGTTTAACACACGGTGGGTTTAACACACGGTAGGTTTAACACACGGTGGGTTGAACACACGGTGGGTTTAACACACGGTGGGTGTAACACACGGTAGGTTTAACACACGGTGGGTTTAACACACGGTGGGGTTAATACACGGTGGGTTTAACACACGGTGGGTTTAACACACGGTGGGTTTAACACACGGTGGGTTTAACACACGGTAGGTTGAACTCACGGTGGGTTGAACACACGGTGGGTTGAACACACGGTGGGTTGAACACACGCTGTGTTGAACACACGGTGGGTTTAACACACGGTGGGTTAAACACACGGTGGGTTGAACACACGGTGGGTTGAACACACGGTGGGTTGAACACACGGTGGGTTGAACACACGGTAGGTTTAACACAGGGTGGGTTTAACACACGGTAGGTTGAACACACGGTGGGTTGAACACACGGTGGGTTTAATACACGGTGGGTTGAACACACGTTAGGTTTAACACACGGTGGGTTGAACACACGGTGGGTTGAACACACGGTAGGTTTAACACACGGTGGATTGAACACACGGTGGGTTGAACACACGGTGGGTTGAACACACGTTAGGTTTAACACACGGTGGGTTGAACACACGGTGGGTTGAACACACGGTGGGTTTAATACACGGTGGGTTGAACACACGGTAGGTTTAACACATGGTGGGTTGAACACAGGGTGGGTTGAACACACGGCGTGTTGAACACACGGTGGGTTGAACACGCGGTGGGTGTAACACACGGTGGGTTGAACACACGGTAGGTTTAACACACGGTGGGTTGAACACCTGGTGGGTTGAACACACGGTAGGTTGAACACACGATGGGTTTAACACACGGTGGGATTAACACACGGTGGGTTGAACACACGGTGTGTTGAACACACGGTGTGTTGAACACATGGTGGGTTGAAGACACGGTGTGTTGAACACACGGTGGGTTTAACACACGGTAGGTTTAACACACGGTGGGTTGAACACACGGTGGATTTAACACACGGTGGGTTTAACACACGGTGGGTTTAACACACGGTGGGTTTAACACACGGTGGGTTTGACACACGGTGGGTTTAACACAAGGTTGGTTTAACACACGGTGGGTTGAACACACGGTGGGTTTAACACACGGTGGGTTTAACACACGGTGGGTTTAACACACGGTGGGTTGAACACACGGTGGGTTTAACACACGGTGGGTGTAACACACGGTAGGTTTAACACACGGTGGGTTTAACACACGGTGGGTTTAACACACGGTGGGTTTAACACACGGTGGGTTTAACACACGGTGGGTTTAACACACGGTGGGTTTAACACACGGTGGGTTTAACACACGGTAGGTTTAACACACAGTGGGTTTAACACACGGTGGATTGAACACACGGTGGGTTGAACACACGGTGGGTTGAACACACGGTAGGTTGAACACACGGTGGGTTGAACACACGGTGGGTTGAACACACGGTGGGTTGAACACACGGTGGGTTGAACACACGGTGGGTTGAACACACGGTAGGTTTAACACACAGTGGGTTGAACACACGGTGGGTTGAACACACGGTGGGTTTAACACACGGTAGGTTTAACACACGGTGTGTTGAACACACGGTGGGTTGAACACACGATGGGTTTAACACACGGTGGGTTGAACACACGGTGGGTTGAACACACGGTAGGTTGAACACACGGTGGGTTTAACACACGGTGGGTTGAACACACGGTGGGTTGAACACACGGTAGGTTGAACACACGGTAGGTTTAACACACGGTGGGTTTAACACACGGTAGGTTGCACACATCGTTGGTTTTAACACACGGTGGGTTGAACACACGGTGGGTTGAACAACGTTAGGTTTAACACACGGTGGGTTGAACACACGGTGGGTTGAACACACGTTAGGTTTAACACACGGTGGGTTGAACACACTGTGGGTTGAACACACGGTGGATTGAACACACGGTGGGTTGAACACACGGTAGGTTTAACACACGGTGGGTTGGACACACGGTGGGTTGAACACACGGTGTGTTGAACACACGGTGGGTTGAACACACGGTGGGTTTAACACACGGTGGGTTGAACACACGGTGGATTTAACACACGGTGGGTTCAACACACGGTGGGTTTAACACACGGTGGGTTTAACACACGGTGGATTTGACACACGGTGGGTTTAACACAAGGTTGGTTTAACACACGGTGGGTTGAACACACGGTGGGTTTAACACACGGTGGGTTTAACACACGGTGGGTTGAACACACGGTGGGTTGAACACACGGTGGGTTTAACACACGGTGGGTTTAACACACGGTGGGTTTAACACACGGTGGGTTTAACACACGGTGGGTTTAACACACGGTGGGTTGAACACACGTTAGGTTTAACACACGGTGGGTTGAACACACGGTGGGTTGAACACACGGTGGGTTGAACACACGGTGGGTTGAACACACGGTGGGTTGAACACACGTTAGGTTTAACACACGGTGGGTTGAACACACGGTGGGTTGAACACACGGTGGGTTTAATACACGGTGGGTTGAACACACGGTAGGTTTAACACACGGTGGGTTGAACACAGGGTGGGTTGAACACACGGTGTGTTGAACACACGGTGGGTTGAACACGCGGTGGGTGTAACACACGGTGGGTTGAACACACGGTAGGTTCAACACACGGTGGGTTGAACACCTGGTGGGTTGAACACACGGTAGGTTGAACACACGATGGGTTTAACACACGGTGGGATTAACACACGGTGGGTTGAACACACGGTGTGTTGAGCACACGGTGTGTTGAACACATGGTGGGTTGAAGACACGGTGTGTTGAACACACGGTGGGTTGAACACACGGTAGGTTTAACACACGGTGGGTTGAACACACGGTGGATTTAACACACGGTGGGTTTAACACACGGTGGGTTTAACACACGGTGGGTTTAACACACGGTGGGTTTGACACACGGTGGGTTTAACACACGGTTGGTTTAACACACGGTGGGTTGAACACACGGTGGGTTTAACACACGGTGGGTTTAACACACGGTGGGTTGAACACACGGTGGGTTTAACACACGGTGGGTGTAACACACGGTAGGTTTAACACACGGTGGGTTTAACACACGGTGGGTTTAACACACGGTGGGTTTAACACACGGTGGGTTTTACACACGGTGGGTTTAACACACAGTGGGTTTAACACACGGTGGGTTTAACACACGGTGGGTTTAACACACGGTAGGTTTAACACACGGTGGGTTTAACACACGGTGGGTTGAACACACGGTGGGTTGAACACACGGTGGGTTGAACACACAGTGGGTTGAACACACGGTGGGTTGAACACACGGTGGGTTGAACACACGGTGGGTTGAACACACGGTAGGTTTAACACACGGTGGGTTTAACACACGATGGGTTTAACACACGGTGGGTTTAACACACGGTGGGTTTAACACACGGTGGGTTGAACACACGGTGGGTTTAACACACGGTGGGTGTAACACACGGTAGGTTTAACACACGGTGGGTTTAACACACGGTGGGTTTAACACACGGTGGGTTTAACACACGGTGGGTTTAACACACGGTGGGTTTAACACACAGTGGGTTTAACACACGGTGGGTTTAACACACGGTGGGTTTAACACACGGTAGGTTTAACACACGGTGGGATTAACACACAGTGGGTTTAACACACGGTGGGTTTAACACACGGTGGGTTTAACACACAGTGGGTTTAACACACGGTGGGTTTAACACACGGTGGGTTTAACACACGGTGGGTTGAACACACGGTGGGTTTAACACACGGTGGGTGTAACACACGGTAGGTTTAACACACGGTGGGTTTAACACACGGTGGGTTTAACACACGGTGGGTTTAACACACGGTGGGTTTAACACACGGTGGGTTTAACACACAGTGGGTTTAACACACGGTGGGTTTAACACACGGTGGGTTTAACACACGGTAGGTTTAACACACGGTGGGATTAACACACGGTGGGTTGAACACACGGTGGGTTGAACACACGGTGGGTTGAACACACAGTGGGTTGAACACACGGTGGGTTGAACACACGGTGGGTTGAACACACGGTGGGTTGAACACACGGTAGGTTTAACACACGGTAGGTTTAACACACGGTGGGTTGAACACACGGTAGGTTTAACACACGGTGGGTTTAACACACGGTGGGTTTAACACACGGTGGGTTTAACACACGGTGGGTTTAACACACGGTGGGTTTAACACACAGTGGGTTTAACACACGGTGGGTTTAACACACGGTGGGTTTAACACACGGTAGGTTTAACACACGGTGGGTTTAACACACGGTGGGTTGAACACACGGTGGGTTGAACACACGGTGGGTTGAACACACGGTAGGTTGAACATACGGTGGGTTGAACACACGGTGGGTTGAACACACGGTGTGTTGAACACAAGGTGGGTTGAACACACGGTGGGTTTAACACACGGTGGGTTGAACATATGGTGGGTTGAACACACGGTGGGTTGAACACACGGTGGGTTTAACACATGGTGGGTTTAACACACGGTAGGTTTAACACACGGTGGTTTGAACACACCGTTGGTTGAACACACGGTGGGTTGAACACACGTTAGGTTTACCACACGGTGGGTTGAACACACGGTGGGTTGAACACACGTTAGGTTTAACACACGGTGGGTTGAACACACGGTGGGTTGAACACACGGTGGGTTGAACACACGGTAGGTTGAACACACGATGGGTTTAACACACGGTGAGTTTAACACACGGTGGGTTGAACACACGGTGGGTTGAACACACGGTGGGTTGAACACACGGTGGGTTTAACACACGGTGGGTTTAACACCCGGTGGGTTGAACACACGGCGGGTTTAACACACGGTGGGTTTAACACACGGTGGGTTGAACACACGGTGGGTTGAACACACGGTGGGTTGAACACACGGTGGGTTTAACACACGGTGGGTTTGACACACGGTGGGTTGAAGACACGGTGGGTTTAACACACGGTGGGTTTAACACACGGTGGGTTTAACAAACGGTGGGTTTAATACACGGTGGGTTTAACACCCGGTGGGTTGAACACACGGTGGGTTGAACACACGGTGGGTTTAACACACGGTGGGTTGAACACACGGTAGGTTTAACACACGGTGGGTTGAACACACGGTGGGTTGAACACACGGTGGGTTCTCCCGCTTTCCATCACCCCGCCCCATACTCCCGCTTTCCATCACCCCGCCCCATTCTCCCGCTTTCCATCACCCCGCCCCATTCTCCCGCTTTCCATCACCCCGCCCCAATCTCCCTCCTTCCATCACCACGCCCCATTCTCCCGCTTTCCATGACCCCGCCCCATTCTCCCGCAATCCATCACCCCGCCCCATTCTCCCGCTTTCTATCACCCCGCCCCATTCTCCCGCTTTCCATCACCCCGCCCCATTCTCCCTCCTTCCATCACTCCACTTCATTTACCCTCCTTCCATCACCCCGCACCATTCTCCCGCCTTCCATCACCCCGCCCCATTCGTCCCCTTTCCATCACCCCGGCCCATTCACCCGCTTTCCATCATCCCGCCCCATTCTCCCGCTTTCCATCACCCCAACCCATTGTCCCGCTTTCCATCACCCCGCCCCATTCTCCTCCCTTCCATCACCCCGCCCCATTCTCCCGCTTTCCATTACCCCGCCCCGTTCTCCCGCTTTCCATCACCGAGCCCCATTCTCCCGCTTTTCATCACCCCGCCCCATTCTCCCGCTTTCCATCAACCCGTCCCATTCTCCCGCTTTCCATCATCCCGCCCCATTCTCCCGCTTTCCATCACCCCGCCCCATTCTCCCGCTTTCCATCACCCCGCCACATTCTCCCGCTTTCCACCACCCCGCCCCATTCTTCTGCTTCCATCACCCCGCCCCATTCTCCCACTTTCCATCACCCCGCCCCATCCTCCCACCTTCCATCACCCCGCCCCATTCGCCCTCCTTCCATCACCCCGCCCCATTCTCCATCCTTCCATCACCCCGCCCCATTCTCCTGGGTTCCATCACCCCGCCACATTCTCCCGCGTTCCATCACTCCGCCCCATTCTCCCGCTTTCCTTCACCCCGCCCCATTCTCCCGTTTTCCATCACCCTGCCCATTCTCCCGCTTTCCATCACCCCGCCCCATTCTCCCGCTTTCCATCACCCCGCCCCATTCTCCCGCTTTCCATCACCCCGCCCCATTCTCCCGCTTTCCATCACCCCGCCCCAATCTCCCTCTTTCCATCACCCCACCCCATTCTCCCTCCTTCCATCACCTCGGCCCATTCTCCTTCCTTCCATCACCCTGCCCCATTCTCCCGCTTTCCATCACCCCGCCCCATTTTCCCGTTTTCCATCACCCCGCCCCATTCTCCTGCTTTCCATCACCCCGCCCCATTCTCCTGCTTTCCACCACCCTGCCCCATTCTCCCGCTTTCCATCACCCCGCCCCATTCTCCCGCTTTCCATCACCTCACCCCATCCTCCCACCTTCTATCACCCCGCCCCATTCTCCCTCCTTCCATCACCTCGCCCCATTCTCCCGCTTTCCATCACCCCGCCCCATTCTCCCGCTTTCCATCACCCCACCCCATTCCCCCGCTTTCCATCATCCCGCACCATTCTCCCGCTTTCCGTCACCCCGCCCCGTTCTCCCGCTTTCCATCACCCCGCCCAATTCTCCCGCTTTCCATCACCCCGCCCCATTCTCCCGCTTTCCATCACCCCGCCCCATTCTTCCTCTTTCCATCACCCCGCCCCATTCTCCCTCCTTCCATCACCCCGCCCCATTCTCTTCTTCCCATAACCCCAGCCCTATCTCCCGCATTCCATCACCCCGCCAATTTCTCCCTCTTCACCCCGCCCCATTCTCCCTCCTTCCATCACCCCGCCCCATTCTCCCTCCTTCCATCACCCCGCCCCATTCTCCCGCTTTCCATCACCCCGCCCCATTCTCCCGCTTTCCATCACCCCGCCCCATTCTCCCGCTTTCCATCACCCCGCCCCATTCTCCCGCTTTCCATCAACCTGCCCCCTTCTCCCGCTTTCCATCACCCCGCCCCATTCTCCCGCATTCCATCACCCCGCCCCATTTTCCCGTTTTCCATCACCTCGCCCCATTCTCCTTGCTTCCATCACCCTGCCCCAATCTCCCTCCTTCCATCACCCCGTCCCATTCTCCCGCTTTCCATCTCCCCGCCCCATTCTCCCGCTTTCCATCACCCTGCCCCATTCTCCCGCTTTCCATCATCCCGCCCCATTCTTCCGCTTCCCATCATCCCGCCCCGTTCCCCCGCTTTCCATCACCCCTCCCCATTCTCCCTCCTTCCATCACCCCGCCCCATTCTCCCGCTTTCCATCATCTGCCCCATTCTCCTGCTTTCCATCACCTCGCCCCATTCTCCCGCTTTCCATCACCCCGCCCCATTCTTCTGCTTTCCATCACCCCGCCCTATTCTCCCGCTTTCCATCACCCCGCACCATTCACCCGCTTTCCATCACCCGCCCCATCTCCCGCTTTCCATCACCCCAACCCATTCTCTCGCTCTCCATCACCCCGCCCCATTCTCCCGCTTTTCATCACCCCGCCCCATTCTCCCGCTTTCCAACACCCCTCCCCATTCTCCCGCTTTCCATCACCCCGCCCCATTCTCCCGCTTTCCATCACCCCGCCCCATTGTCCCGCTTTCCATCACTCCGCCCCATTCTCCCGCTTTCCATCAACCCGCCCCATTCTCCCGCTTTCCATCACCCCGCCCTATTCTCCCTCCTTCCATCACCCTGCCTCATTCTCCCTTCTTCCATCACCCCGCCCCATTCTCCCGCTTTCTATCACCCCGCCCCATTCTCCCGCTTTCCATCACCCAGCCCCATTCTCCCGCTTTCCATCACCCCGCCCCATTTTCCCGCTTTCCATCACCCCGCCCCATTCTCCCGCTTTCCATCACCCCGCCCCATTCTCCCGCTTTCCATCACCCCGCCCCATTCTCCCGCTTTCCATCACCCTGCCCCATTCTCCCTCCTTCCATCACCCCGCCCCATTCTCCCGCTTTCCATCACCCCGCCCCATTCTCCCTCCTTCCATCACCCCGCCCAATTCTCCCTCCTCCCATCACCCTGCCCCATTCTTCCGCTTTCCATCACCCTGCCCCATTCTCCCGCTTCCCATAACCCCACCCCATTCTCCCGCTTTCCATCACCCCGCCACATTCTCCCACTTTCCATCACCCCGCCCCCTTCTCTCTCCTTCCATCACCCTGCCCCATTCTCCCGCTTTCCATCACCCCGCCCCATTTTCCCGTTTTCCATCACCCCGTCCCATTCTCCTGCTCTCCATCACCCCGCCCCATTCTCCCGCTTTCCACCACCCCGCCCCATTCTCCCGCTTTCCATCACCCCGCCCCATTCTCCCACTTTCCATCACCCCACCCCATCCTCCCACCTTCTATCACCCCGCCCCATTCTCCCTCCTTCCATCACCCCGCCCCATTCTCCCGCTTTTCATCACCCCGCCCCATTCTCCCGCTTTCCATCAGCCCGCCCCATTCTCCCGCTTTCCATCACCCCGCCCCATTATCCCGCTTTCCATCACCCCGCCCCATTCTCCCGCTTTCCATCAACCTGCCCCCTTCTCCCGCTGTCCATCACCCCGCCCCATTCTCCCGCATTCCATCACCCCGCCCCATTTTCCCGTTTTCCATCACCTCGCCCCATCTTCCTTGCTTCCATCACCCTGCCCCAATCTCCCTCCTTCCATCACCCCGTCCCATTCTCCCGCTTTCCATCTCCCCGCCCCATTCTCCCGCTTTCCATCACCCTGCCCCATTCTCCCGCTTTCCATCATCCCGCCCCATTCTTCCGCTTCCCATCATCCCGCCCCGTTCCCCCGCTTTCCATCACCCCTCCCCATTCTCCCTCCTTCCATCACCCCGCCCCATTCTCCCGCTTTCCATCATCTGCCCCATTCTCCTGCTTTCCATCACCTCGCCCCATTCTCCCGCTTTCCATCACCCCGCCCCATTCTTCTGCTTTCTATCACCCCGCCCCATTCTCCCGCTTTCCATCACCCAGCCCCATTCTCCCGCTTTCCATCACCTCGCCCCATTTTCCCGCTTTCCATCACCCCGCCCCATTCTCCCGCTTTCCATCACCCCGCCCCATTCTCCCGCTTTCCATCACCCCGCCCCATTCTCCCGCTTTCCATCACCCTGCCCCATTCTCCGTCCTTCCATCACCCCGCCCCATTCTCCCGCTTTCCATCACCCCGCCCCATTCTCCCTCCTTCCATCACCCCGCCCAATTCTCCCTCCTCCCATCACCCTGCCCCATTCTCCCGCTTTCCATCACCCTGCCCCATTCTCCCGCTTCCCATAACCCCGCCCCATTCTCCCGCTTTCCATCACCCCGCCACATTCTCCCACTTTCCATCACCCCGCCCCCTTCTCTCTCCTTCCATCACCCTGCCCCATTCTCCCGCTTTCCATCACCCCGCCCCATTTTCCCGTTTTCCATCACCCCGTCCCATTCTCCTGCTTTCCATCACCCCGCCCCATTCTCCCGCTTTCCACCACCCCGCCCCATTCTCCCGCTTTCCATCACCCCGCCCCATTCTCCCACTTTCCATCACCCCACCCCATCCTCCCACCTTCTATCACCCCGCCCCATTCTCCCTCCTTCCATCACCCCGCCCCATTCTCCCGCTTTCCATCACCCCGCCCCATTCTCCTGCTTTCCATCACCCCGCCCCATTCCCCTGCTTTGCATCACCCTGCCCCATTCTCCCGCTTTCCATCACCCGCCCCGTTCTCCCGCTTTCCATCACCCCGCCCAATTCTCCCGCTTTCCATCACCCCGCCCCATTCTCCCGCTTTCCATCACCCCGCCCCATTCTCCCTCTTTCCATCACCCCGCCCCATTCTCCCTCCTTCCATCACCCCGCCCCATTCTCCGCTTCCCATAACCCCAGCCCCATCTCCCGCTTTCCATCACCCCGCCACATTCTCCCACTTTCCATCACCCCGCCCCATTCTCCCTCCTTCCATCACCCCGCCCCATTCTCCCTCCTTCCATCACCCCGCCCCATTCTCCCGCATTCCATCTCCCCGCCCCATTCTCCCGCTTTCCATCACCCTGCCCCATTCTCCTGCTTTCCATCACCCCGCCCCATTCTTCCGCTTCCCATCATCCCGCCCCATTCCCCCACTTTCCATCACCCCTCCCCATTCTCCCTCCTTCCATCACCCCGCCCCATTCTCCCGCTTTCCATCACCCGCCCCATTCTCCTGCTTTCCATCACCTCGCCCCATTCTCCCACATTCCATCACCTCGCCCCATTCTTCTGCTTTCCATCACCCCGCCCCATTCTCCCGCTTTCCATCACCCCACACCATTCACCCGCTTTCCATCACCCGCCCCATCTCCAGCTTTCCATCAACCCGCCCCATTCTCCCGCTCTCCATCACCCCGCCCCATTCTCCCGCTTTTCATCACCCCGCCCCATTCTCCCGCTTTCCAACACCCCTCCCCATTCTCCCGCTTTCCATCACCCCGCCCCATTCTCCCGCTTTCCATCACCCCGCCCCATTGTCCCGCTTTCCATCACTCCGCCCCATTCTCTTGCTTTCCATCACCCCGCCCCATTCTCCCGCTTTCCATCACCCCGGCCCATTCTCCCTCCTTCCATCACCCTGCCTCATTCTCCCTCCTTCCATCACCCCGCCCCATGCTCCCGCTTTCCTTCACCCTGCCCCATTCTCCCGCTTTCCATCACCCAGCCCCATTCTCCCGCTTTCCATCACCCCGCCCCATTCTCCGGCTTTCCATCACCCTTCCCCAGTCCCCCGCTTTCCATCACCCCGCCCCATTCTCCCTCCTTCCATCACCCCACCCCATTCTCCCGCTTTTCATCACCCCGCCCCATTCTCCCTCCTTCCATAACCCCGCCCCATTTTCCCGCTTTCCATCACCCCGCCCCAATCTCCCGCTTTCCATCACCCTGCCCCAATCTTCCGCTTTCCATCACCCCGCCCCATTCTCCCTCCTTCCATCACCCAGCCCCATTCTCCCGCTTTCCATCACCCAGCCCCATTCTCCCGCTTTCCATCATCCCGCCCCATTCTCTCGCTTTCCATCACCCCGCCCCATTCTCCCGCTTTCCATCACCCCACCCCATTCTCCCGCTTTCCATCACCCCGCCACATTCTCCCGCTTTCCATCACCCCACCCCATTCTCCCTCCTTCCATCACCCCGCCCCATTTTCCCGCTTTCTATCACCCCGCCCCATTCTCCCTCCTTCCATCACCCCGCCCCATTCTCCCTCCTTCCATCACCCCGCCCCATTCTACCGCTTTCCATCACCCCGCCCCATTCTCCCGCTTCCCATAACCCCACCCAATTCTCCCGCTTTCCATCACCCCGCCACATTCTCCCGCTTTCCATCACCCCGCCCCATTCTCCTTCCTTCCATCACCCCGCCCCATTCTCCCTCCTTCCATCGCCCCGCCCCATTCTCCCGCTTTCCATCAGCCCGCCCCATTCTCCCGCTTTCCATCACCCCGCCCCATTCTCCCGCTTTCCATCACCCCGCCCCATTCTCCCGCTTTCCATCACCCCCCCCCCCTTCTCCCTCCTTCCATCACCCCGCCCCATTCTCCCTCCTTCCATCACCCCGCCCCATTCTCCCGCTTTCCATCAGCCCGCCCCATTCTCCCGCTTTCCATCACCCCGCCCATTTCTCCCTCTTTCCATCTCCCCGCCCCATTCTCCCGCTTTCCATCACCCCGCCCCATTCTCCCGCTTTCCATCACCCCGCCCCATTCTTCCGCTTCCCATCATCCCGCCCCATTCCCCCGCTTTCCATCACCCCGCCCCATTTTCCCGCTTTCCATCACCCCGCCCCAATCTCCCGCTTTCCATCACCCTGCCCCAATCTTCCGCTTTCCATCACCCCGCCCCATTCTCCCTCCTTCCATCACCCCGCCCCATTCTCCCGCTTTCCATCACCCCGCCCCATTCTCCCGCTTTCCATCACCCCGCCCCATTCTCCCGCTTTCCATCACCCTGCCCCATTCTCCCGCTGTCCATCACCCCGCCCCATTCTCCCTCCTTCCATCACCCCGCCCCATTCTCCCGCTTTCCATCACCCCGCCCCATTCTCCCTCCTTCCATCACCCCGCCCCATTCTCCCTCCTTCCATCACCCCGCCCCATTCTCTTGCTTTCCATCACCCAGCCCCATTCTCCCGCTTTCCATCACCCCGCCCCATTTTCCCGCTTTCCATCACCCCGCCCCATTCTCCCGCTTTCCATCACCTTGCCCCAATCTCCCGCTTTCCATCACCCCGCCCCATTCTCCCTCCTTCCATCACCCCGCCCCATTCTCCCGCTTTCCATCACCCCGCCCCATTCTCCCGCTTTCCATCACCCAGCCCCATTCTCCCGCTTTCCATCACCCCGCCCCATTCTCCCGCTTTCCATCACCCCGCCCCATTCTCCCGCTTTCCATCACCCTGCCCCATTCTCCCTCCTTCCATCACCCCGCCCCATTCTCCCGCTTTCCATCACCCCGCCCCATTCTCTCTCCTTCCATCACCCCGCCCCATTCTCCCTCCTTCCATCACCCCGCCCCATTCTCCCGCTTTCCATCACCCCGCCCCATTCTCCCGCTTCCCATAACGCCACCCCATTCTCCCACTTTCCATCACCCCGCCACATTCTCATGCTGTCTATCACCCCGCCCCATTCTCCCTCCTTCCATCACCCCGCCCCATTCTCCTGCTTTCCATCACCCCGCCCCATTCTCCCGATTTCCATCACCCCGCCCCATTCTCCCGCTTTCCATCACCCCGCCCCATTCTCCCGCTTTCCATCATCCCGCCCCATTCTCCCTCCTTCCATCACCCCGCCCCATTCTCCCGCTTTCCATCACTCCGCCCCATTCTCCCTCCTTCCATCACCCCGCCCCATTCTCCCTCCTTCCATCACCCCGCCCCATTCTCCCGCATTCCATCACCCCGCCCCATTCTCCCGCTTCCCATAACCCCACCCCATTCTCCCGCTTTCCATCACCCCGCCACATTCTCCCACTTTCCATCACCCCGCCCCCTTCTCTCTCCTTCCAACACCCCGCCTCATTCTCCCTCCTTCCATCACCGCGCCCCACTCTCCCGCTTTCCATCAGCCCGCCCCATTCTCCCGCTTTCCATCACCCCTCCCCTTTCTCCCGCTTTCCATCTCCCCGCCCCATTCTCCCGCTTTCCATCACCCCGCCCCATTCTCCCGCTTTCCATCACACCGCCCCATTCTTCCGCTTCCCATCATCCCGCCCCATACCCCCGCTTTCCATCACCCCTCCCCATTCTCCCTCCTTCCATCACCCCGCCCCATTCTCTCGCTTTCCATCACCCCGCCCCATTCTCCCGCTTTCCATCACCCCCCCCATTCTCCCGCTTTCCATCACCCCGCCCCATTCTCCCGCTTTCCATCACCCCGCCCCAATCTCCCTCCTTCCATCACCCCGCCCCATTCTCCCGCTTTCCATCACCCTGCCCCATTCTTCCGCTTCCCATAACCCCACCCCATTCTCCCGCTTTCCATCACCCCGCCACATTTTCCCACTTTCCATCACCCCGCCCCCTTCTCTCTCCTTCCATCACCCCGCCCCATTCTCCCTCCTTCCATCACCCCGCCCCATTCTCCCGCTTTTCATCAGCCCGCCCCATTTTCCCGCTTTCCATCACCCCGCCCCTTTCTCCCGCTTTCCATCTCCCCCCCCATTCTCCCGCTTCCCATCATCCCGCCCCATTCTCCCGCTTTCCATCACCCCTCCCCATTCTCCCTCCTTCCATCACCACGCCCCATTCTCTCGCTTTCCATCACCCCGCCCCATTCTCCCGCTTTCCATCACCCCCCCCATTCTCCCGCTTTCCATCACCCCGCCCCATTCTCCCGCTTTCCATCACCCCGCCCCATTCTCCCTCCTTCCATCACCCCGCCCCATTCTCCCGCTTTCCATCACCCCGCCCCATTCTTCCGCTTCCCATAACCCCACCCCATTCTCCCGCTTTCCATCACCCCGCCCCATTCTCCCGCTTTCCATCACCCCCCCCATTCTCCCGCTTCCCATCATCCCGCCCCATTCTCCCGCTTTCCATCACCCCTCCCCATTCTCCCTCCTTCCATCACCACGCCCCATTCTCTCGCTTTCCATCACCCCGCCCCATTCTCCCGCTTTCCATCACCCCCCCCATTCTCCCGCTTTCCATCACCCCGCCCCATTCTCCCGCTTTCCATCACCCCGCCCCATTCTCCCTCCTTCCATCACCCCGCCCCATTCTCCCGCTTTCCATCACCCCGCCCCATTCTTCCGCTTCCCATAACCCCACCCCATTCTCCCGCTTTCCATCACCCCGCCACATTTTCCCACTTTCCATCACCCCGCCCCCTTCTCTCTCCTTCCATCACCCCGCCCCATTCTCCCTCCTTCCATCACCCCGCCCCATTCTCCCGCTTTTCATCAGCCCGCCCCATTCTCCCGCTTTCCATCACCCCGCCCCTTTCTCCCGCTTTCCATCTCCCCACCCCATTCTCCCGCTTTCCATCACCCCGCCCCATTCTCCCGCTTTCCATCACCCCGCCCCATTCTTCCGCTTCCCATCATCCCGCCCCATTCTCCCGCTTTCCATCACCCCTCCCCATTCTCCCTCCTTCCATCACCCCGCCCCATTCTCTCGCTTTCCATCACCCCGCCCCATTCTCCCGCTTTCCATCACCCCCCCCATTCTCCCGCTTTCCATCACCCCGCCCCATTCTCCCGCTTTCCATCACCCCGCCCCATTCTCCCTCATTCCATCACCCCGCCCCATTCTCCCGCTTTCCATCACCCCGCCCCATTCTTCCGCTTCCCATCATCGCGCCACATACCCCCGCTTTCCATCACCCCTCCCCATTCTCCCTCCTTCCATCACCCCGCCCCATTCTCTCGCTTTCCATCACCCCGCCCCATTCTCCCGCTTTCCATCACCCCCCCCATTCTCCCGCTTTCCATCACCCCGGCCCATTCTCCCGCTTTCCATCACCCCGCCCCATTCTCCCTCCTTCCATCACCCCGCCCCATTCTCCCTCATTCCATCACCCCAACCCATTCTCCCGCTTTCCATCACCCCGCCCCATTCTTCCGCTTTCCATCACCCCGCCCCATTCTTCCGCTTCCCATCATCCCGCCCCATTCCCCCGCTTTCCATCACCCCTCCCCATTCTCCCTCCTTCCATCACCCCGCCCCATTCTGCCGCTTTCCATCACCCGCCCCATTCTCCCGCTTTCCCGCCACATTCTTCCGCTTTCCATCACCCCGCCCCATTCTCCCGCTTTCCATCACCCCGCCCCATTCACCCGCTTTCCATCACCTGCCCCATTCTCCCGCTTTCCATCACCCCGCCCCATTCTCCCGCTTTCCATCAACCCGCCCCATTCTCCCGCTTTTCATCACCCTGCCCCATTCTCCTGCTTTCCAACACCGCGCCCCATTCTCCCGCTTTCCATCACCCCGCCCCATTCTCCCGCTTTCCATCACTCCGCCCCATTCTCCCGCTTTCCATCACCCCGCCCCATTCTCCCACTTTCCATCACCCCACCCCATTCTCCCTCCTTCCATCACCCAGCCTCATTCTCTCTCCTTCCATCACCCCGCCCCATTCTCCCGCTTTCCATCACCCTGCCCCATTCTCTCGCTTTCCATCACCCAGCCCCATTCTCCCGCTTTCCATCACCCCGCCCCATTTTCCCGCTTTCCATCACCTCGCCCCATTCTCCCGCTTTCCATCACCCTGCCCCAATCTCCCGCTTTCCATCACCCCGCCCCATTCTCCCTCCTTCCATCACCCCGCCCCATTCTCCCACTTTCCATCACCCCGCCCCATTCTCCCGCTTTCCATCACCCAGCCACATTCTCCCGCTTTCCATCACCCCGCCCCATTCTCCCGCTTTCCATCACCCCGCCCCATTCTCCCGCTTTCCATCACCCCGCCCCATTCTCCCTCCTTCCATCACCCCGCCCCATTCTCCCGCTTTCCATCACCCCGCCCCATTCTCCCTCCTTCCATCACCCCGCCCCATTCTCCCTCCTTCCATCACCCCGCCCCATTCTCCCGCTTTCCATCACCCCGCCCCATTCTCCCGCTTCCCATAACGCCACCCCATTCTCCCACTTTCCATCACCCCGCCACATTCTCCTGCTTTCTATCACCCCGCCCCATTCTCCCTCCTTCCATCACCCCGCCCCATTCTCCTGCTTTCCATCACCCCGCCCCATTCTCCCGATTTCCATCACCCCGCCCCATTCTCTCGCTTTCCATCACCCCGCCCCATTCTCCCGCTTTCCACCATCCAGCCCCATTCTCCCTCCTTCCATCACCCCGCCCCATTCTCCCGCTTTCCATCATCCCGCCCCATTCTCCTTCCTTCCATCACCCCGCCCCATTCTCCCTCCTTCCATCACCCCGCCCCATTCTCCCGCTTTCCATCATCCCGCCCCATTCTCCCTCCTTCCATCACCCCGCCCCATTCTCCCTCCTTCCATCACCCCGCCCCATTCTCCCTCCTTCCATCACCCCGCCCCATTCTCCCTCCTTCCCATAACCCCACCCCATTCTCCCGCTTTCCATCACCCCGCCACATTCTCCCACTTTCCATCACCCCGCCCCATTCTCCCTCCTTCCATCACCGCGCCCCATTCTCCCGCTTTCCATCAGCCCGCCCCATTCTCCCGCTTTCCATCACCCCTCCCCTTTCTCCCGCTTTCCATCTCCCCGCCCCATTCTTCCGCTTTCCATCACCCCGCCCCATTCTCCTGCTTTCCATCACCCCGCCCCATTCTTCCTCTTCCCATCATCCCGCCCCATACCCCTGCTTTCCATCACCCCTCCCCATTCTCCCTCCTTCCATCACCCCGCCCCATTCTCTCGCTTTCCATCACCCCGCCCCATTGTCCCGCTTTCCATCAACCCCCCCATTCTCTCACTTTCCATCACCCAGCCCCATTCTCCCGCTTTCCATCACCCCGCCCCATTCTCCCTCCTTCCATCACCCCGCCCCATTCTCCCTCATTCCATCACCCCGCCCCATTCTCCCGCTTTCCATCACCCCGCCCCATTCTTCCGCTTCCCATAACCTCACCCCATTCTCCCGCTTTCCATCACCCCGCCACATTTTCCCACTTTCCATCACCCCGCCCCCTTCTCTCTCCTTCCATCACCCCGCCCCATTCTCCCTCCTTCCATCACCCCGCCCCATTCTCCCTCTTTCCATCAGCCCGTCCCATTCTCCCGCTTTCCATCACCCCGCCCCTTTCTCCTGCTTTCCATCTCCCCGCCCCATTCTCCCGCTTTCCATCACCCCGCCCCATTCTCCCGCTTTCCATCACCCCTCCCCATTCTCCGCTTCCCATCATCCCGCCCCATTCCACCGCTTTCCATCACCACTCCCCATTCTCCCTCCTTCCATCACCCCGCCCCATTCTTCCGCTTTCCATCACCCGCCCCATTCTCCCGCTTTCCATCACCTCGCCCCATTCTCCTGCTTTCCATCACCCCGCCCCATTCTTCTGCTTTCCATCACCCCGCCCCATTCTCCCGCTTTCCATCACCCCGCCCCATTCTTCCTCCTTCCATCACCCCGCCCCATTCTCCCTCCTTCCATCACCCCGCCCCATTCTCCCGCTTTCCATCACCCCGCCACATTCTCCCGCTTTCTATCACCCCACCCCATTCTCCCTCCTTCTATCACCCCGCCCCATTCTCCCGCTTTCCACCACCCCGCCCCATTCTCCCGATTTCCATCACCCCGCCCCATTCTCCCGCTTTCCATCACACCGCCCCATTCTCCCGCTTTCCATCACCCCGCCCCATTCTCCCGCTTTCCATCATCCCGCCCCATTCTCCCTCCTCCCATCACCCCGCCCCATTCTCCCGCTTTCCATCACTCCGCCCCATTCTCCCTCCTTCCATCACCCCGCCCCATTCTCCCTCCTTCCATCACCCCGCCCCATTCTCCCGCTTTCCATCACCCCGCCCCAATCTCCTGCTTCCCATAACCCCACCCCATTTTCCCGCTTTCCATCACCCCGCCACATTCTCCCACTTTCCATCACCCCGCCCCCTTCTCTCTCCTTCCATAACCCCGCCCCATTCTCCCTCCTTCCATCACCCCGCCCCATTCTCCCGCTTTCCATCAGCCCGCCCCATTCTCCCGCTTTCCATCACCCCGCCCCAATCTCCTGCTTCCCATAACCCCACCCCATTTTCCCGCTTTCCATCACCCCGCCACATTCTCCCACTTTCCATCACCCCGCCCCCTTCTCTCTCCTTCCATCACCCCGCCCCATTCTCCCTCCTTCCATCACCCCACCCCATTCTCCCGCTTTCCATCAGCCCGCCCCATTCTCCCGCTTTCCATCACCCCGCCCCATTCTCCCGCTTTCCATCACCCCGCCCCATTCTTCCGCTTCCCATCATCCCGCCCCATTCCCCTGCTTTCCATCACCCCTCCCCATTCTCCCTCCTTCCATCACCCCGCCCCATTCTCTCGCTTTCCATCACCCCGCCCCATTCTCCCGCTTTCCATCACGCCGCCCCATTCTCCCGCTTTCCATCACCCCGCCCCATTCTCCCTCCTTCCATCACCCCGCCCCATTCTCCCGCTTTCCATCACCCCGCCCCATTCTCCCTTCTTCCATCACCCCGCCCCATTCTCCCTCATTCCATCACCCCGCCCCATTCTCCCGCTTTCCATCACCCCGCCCCATTCTCCCGCTTCCCATAACCCCAACCCATTCTCCCGCTTTCCATCACCCCGCCACATTTTCCCACTTTCCATCACCCCGCCCCCTTCTCTCTCCTTCCATCATCCCGCCCCATTCTCCCGCTTTCCATCAGCCCGCCCCATTCTCCCGCTTTCCATCACCCCGCCCCCTTCTCCCGCTTTCCATCTCCCCGCCCCATTCTCCCGCTTTCCATCACCCCGCCCCATTCTTCCGCTTTCCATCACCCGCCCCATTCTCCCGCTTTCCATCACCTCGCCCCATTCTCCCGCTTTCCATCACCCCGCCCCATTCTTTTGCTTTCCATCACCCCGCCCCATTCTCCCGCTTTCCATCACCCTGCCCCATTCACCCGCTTTCCATCACCCGCCCCATTCTCCCGCTTTCCATCACCCCGCCCCATTCTCCCGCTTTCCATTGCCCCGCTCCATTCTCCCGCTTTCCATCACCCCGCCCCATTCTCCCGCTTTCCATCACCCCGCCCCATTCTCCCGCTTTCCATCACTCCGCCCCATTCTCCCGCTTTCCATCACCCCGACCCATTCTCCCACTTTCCATTACCCCGCCCCATTCTCCCTCCTTCCATCACCCCGCCTCATTCTCCCTCCTTCTATCACCCCGCCCCATTCTCCTGCTTTCCATCACCCCACCCCATTCTCCCGCTTTCCATCACCCAGCCCCATTCTCCCGCTTTCCATCACCCCGCCCCATTTTCCCACTTTCCATCACCCCGCCCCATTCTCCCGCTTTCCATCACCCTGCCCCAATCTCCCGCTTTCCATCACCCCGGCCCATTCTCCCTCCTTCCATCACCCCGCCCCATTCTCCCGCTTTCCATCACCCCGCCCCATTCTCTCGCTTTCCATCACCCAGCCCCATTCTCCCGCTTTCCATCACCCCACCCCATTCTCCCGCTTTCCATCACCCCACCCCATTCTCCCTCCTTCCATCACCCCGCCCCATTCTCCCTCCTTCCATCACCCCGCCCCATTCTCCCGCTTTCCATCACCCCGCCCCATTCTTCCTCCTTCCATCACCCCGCCCCATTCTCCCTCCTTCCATCACCCCGCCCCATTCTCCCGCTTTCCATCACCCCGCCACATTCTCCCGCTTTCTATCACCCCGCCCCATTCTCCCTCCTTCCATCACCCCGCCCCATTCTCCCGCTTTCCATCACCCCGCCCCATTCTCCCGATTTCCATCACCCCGCCCCATTCTCCCGCTTTCCATCACCCCGCCCCATTCTCCCGCTTTCCATCACCCTGCCCCATTCTCCCGCCTTCCATCATCCCGCCTTATTCTCCCTCCTTCCATCACCCCGCCCCATTCTTCCGCTTCCCATCATCCCGCCCCATTCCCCCGCTTTCCATCACCCCTCCCCATTCTCCCTCCTTCCATCTCCCCGCCCCATTCTCTCGCTTTCCATCACCCCGCCCCATTCTCCCGCTTTCCATCACCCCGCCCCATTCTCCCGCCTTCCATCACCCCGCCCCATTCTCCCTCCCTCCATCACCCCGCCCCATTCTCCCGCTTTCCATCACCCCGCCTCATTCTCCCGCCTCCCATAACCCCACCCCATTCTCCCGCTTTCCATCACCCCGCCACATTCTCCCACTTTCCATCACCCCGCCCCCTTCTCTCTCCTTCCATCACCCCGCCCCATTCTCCCTCCTTCCATCACCCCGCCCCATTCTCCCGCTTTCCATCAGCCCGCCCCATTCTCCCGCTTTCCATCACCCCTCCCCTTTCTCCCGCTTTCCATCTCCCCGCCCCATTCTCCCGCTTTCCATCACCCCGCCCCATTCCCGCTTTCCATCACCCCCGCCCCATTCTTCCGCTTCCCATCATCCCGCCCCATTCCCCCGCTTTCCATCACCCCTCCCCATTCTCCCTCCTTCCATCACCCCGCCCCATTCTCCCGCTTTCCATCACCCCGTCCCATTCTCCCGCCTTCCATCACGCCGCCCCATTCTCCCGCTTTCCATCACCCCGCCCCATTCTCCCTCCTTCCATCACCCCGCCCCATTCTCCCTCATTCCATCACCCCGCCCCATTCTCCCGCTTTCCATCACCCCGCCCCATTCTCCCGCTTCCCATAACCCCAACCCATTCTCCCGCTTTCCATCACCCCGCCACATTTTCCCACTTTCCATCACCCCGCCCCCTTCTCTCTCCTTCCATCACCCCGCCCCATTCTCCATCCTTCCATCAACCCGCCCCATTCTCCAGCTTTCCATCAGCCCGCCCCATTCTCCCGCTTTCCATCACCCCACTCCTTTCTCCCGCTTTCCATCAGCCCGCCCCATTCTCCCGCTTTCCAATACCCCGCCCCTTTCTCCCACTTTCCATCTCCCCGCCCCATTCTCCCGCTTTCCATCACCCCGCCCCATTCTCCCGCTTTCCATCACTCCGCCCCATTCTTCCGCTTCCCATCATCCCGCCCCATTCCACCGCTTTCCATCACCCCTCCCCATTCTCCCTCCTTCCATCACCCCGCCCCATTCTTCCGCTTTCCATCACCCGCCCCATTCTCCCGCTTTCCATCACCTCGCCCCATTCTCCCGCTTTCCATCACCCCGCCCCATTCTTTTGCTTTCCATCACCCTGGCCCATTCTCCCGCTTTCCATCACCCTGCCCCATTCACCCGCTTTCCATCACCCGCCCCATTCTCCCGCTTTCCATCACCCCGCCCCATTCTCCGGCTTTCCATCACCCCGCTCCATTCTCCCGCTTTCCATCACCCCGCCCCATCCTCCCGCTTTCCATCACCCCGCCCCATTCCCCCGCTTTCCACCACCCGACCCATTCTCCCACTTTCCATCACCCCGCCCCATTCTCCCTCCTTCCATAACCCCGCCTCATTCTCCCTCCTTCCATCACCCCGCCCCATTCTCCCGCTTTCCATAAGACGCCCCATTCTCCCGCTTTCCATCACCCAGCCCCATTCTCCCGCTTTCCATCACCCCGCCCCATTTTTCCGCTTTCCATCACCCCGCCCCATTCTCCCGCTTTCCATCACCCTGCCCCAATCTCCCGCTTTCCATCACCCCGCCCCATTCTCCCTCCTTCCATCACCCCGCCCCATTCTCCCGCTTTACATCACCCCGCCCCATTCTCCCGCTTTCCATCACCCAGCCACATTCTCCCGCTTTCCATCACCCCGCCCCATTCTCCCGCTTTCCATCACCCCACCCCATTCTCCCTCCTTCCATCACCCAGCCCCATTCTCCCTCCTTCCATCACCCCGCCCCATTCTCCCGCTTTCCATCACCCCGCCCCATTCTCCCTCCTTCCATCACCCCGCCCCATTCTCCCTCCTTCCATCACCCCGCCCCATTCTCCCGCTTTCCATCACCCCGCCCCATTCTCCCGCTTTCCATCACCTTGCCCCATTCTCCCACTTTTTATCACCCCGCCCCATTCTCCCGCTTTCCATCGCCCCGCCCGATTCTCCCTCCTTCCATCACCCCACACCATTCTCCCGCTTTCTATCACCCCGCCCCATTCTCCTGCTTTCCATCACCCCGCCCCATTCTCTTGCTTACTATCAACCCGCCCCATTCTCCCGCTTTCTATCATCCGTCCCCATTCTCCCTCCTTCCATCACCCCGCCTCATTCTCCCGCTTTCCATCACCTCGCCCCATTTTCCCGCTTTTTATCACCCCGCCCCATTCTCCCGCTTTCCATCACCCCGCCTGATTCTCCCTCCTTCCATCACCCCACACCATTCTCCCGCTTTCCATCACCCCGCCCCATTCTCCTGCTTTCCATCACCCCTCCCCATTCTCCCGCTTTCCATCACCCCGCCCCATTCTCCCGCTTTCCATCACCCCGCCCCATTCTCCCTCCTTCCATGACCCCGCCCCATTCTCCCTCCTTCCATCACCCCGCCCAATTCTCCCGCTTTCCATCACCCTGCCCCATTCTCCCGCTATCCATCAACCCGCCCCATTCTCCCTCCTTCCATCACCACGCCCCATTCTCCCTCCTTCCATCACCCCGCCCCATTCTCCTTCCTTCCATCACCCCGCCCCATTCTCCCTCCTTCCATCACCGTGCCCCATTCTCCCGCTATACATCAGCCCGCCCCATTCTCCCGCTTTTCATCACCCCGCCCCATTCTCCCGCTTTCCATCACCCCGCCCCATTCACCCGCTTTCCATCACCCCGCCCCATTCTCCCGCTTTCCATCACCCCGCCCCATTCTCCCGCTTTCCATCACCCCGCCCCATTCTCCCGCTTTCCATCACCCTGCCCCATTCTCCCGCTTTCCATCACCCCGCCTCATTCTCCCGCTTCCCATCATCCCGCCCCATTCCCCGCTTTCCATCACCTCTCCCTCCTTCCATCACCCCGCCCCATTCTCCCGCTTTCTATCACCCGTCCCCATTCTCCCTCCTTCCATCACCCCGCCCCATTCTCCCGCTTTCCATCACCCCGCCCCATTCTCCCGCTTTCCATCACCTCGCCCCATTCTCCCGCTTTTTATCACCCCGCCCCATTCTCCCGCTTTCCATCACCCCGCCCGATTCTCCCTCCTTCCATCACCCCACACCATTCTCCCGCTTTCCATCACCCCGCCCCATTCTCCTACTTTCCATCACCCCTCCCCATTCTCCCGCTTTCCATCACCCCGCCCCATTCTCCCGCTTTCCATCACCCCGCCCCATTCTCCCGCTTTCCATCACGCCGCCCCATTCTCCCACTTTCCCTCACCCCGCCCCATTCTCCAGCTTTCCATCACCCCGCCCCATTCTCCCGCTTCCCATCAACCCGCCCCATTCTCCCGCTTTCTATCACCCGTCCCCGTTCTTCCTCCTTCCATCACCCCGCCCCATTCTCCCGCTTTCCATCACCCCGCCCCATTCTCCCGCTTTCCATCACCTTGCCCCATTCTCCCACTTTTTATCACCCCGCCCCATTCTCCCGCTTTCCATTGCCCCGCCCGATTCTCCCTCCTTCCATCACCCCACACCATTCTCCCGCATTCTATCACCCCGCCCCATTCTCCTGCTTTCCATCACCCCGCCCCATTCTCTTGCTTACTATCAACCCGCCCCACTCTCCCGCTTTCTATCATCCGTCCCCATTCTCCCTCCTTCCATCACCCCGCCCCATTCTCCCGCTTTCCATCACCCCGCCCCATTCTCCCGCTTTCCATCACCTCGCCCCATTCTCCCGCTTTTTATCACCCCGCCCCATTCTCCCGCTTTCCATCACCCCGCCTGATTCTCCCTCCTTCCATCACCCCACCCCATTCTCACTCTTTCCATCACCCCTCCCCATTCTCCCTCTTTCGATCACCCCGCCCCATTCTCCTGCTTTCCATCACCCCGCCCCATTCTCCCTCTTTCCATCACCCCGGCCCATTCTCCCGCCTTCCATCACCCCGCCCCATTCTCCATCTTTCCATCACCCTGCCCAATTCTCCCCCTTTCCATTACCCCGCCCCATTCTCCCGCCTTCCATAACCCCGCCCCATTCTCCCTCTTTCCATCACCCCGCCCCATTCTCCCGCTTTCCATCACCCCGCCTTATTTTCCCGATTTCCATCACCCCGCCCCATTCTCCCGCTTTCCATCACCCCGCCCCATTCTCCCGCTTTCCATCACCCCGCCCCATTCTCCCGTTTTCCATCACCCCGCCCCATTCTCCCGCTTTCCATCACCCAGCCCCATTCTCCCTCTTTCCAACACCCCGCCCCATTCTCCCGCATTCCATCACCCCGCCCCATTTTCCCTCGTTCCATCACCCCACTCCATTCTCCCGCTTTCCATCACCCCGCCCCATTCTCCCTCTTTCCATCACCCCGCCCCATTCTCCCGCTTTCCATCACCCCGCCCCATTCTCCCTCTTTCCATCACCCCGCCCCATTCTCCCGCTTTCCATCACCCCGCCCCATTCTCCCTCTTTCCATCACCCTGCTCCATTCTCCCGCTTTCCATCACCCCGCCCAATTCTCCCTCTTTCCATCACCCCTCCTCATTCTTCCTCTTTCCATCACCCCGCCCCATTCTCCCGCTTTCCACCACCCCGCTCCATTCTCCCACTTTCCATCACCCCGCCCAATTCTCCCGCTTTCCATCACCACGCCCCATTTTCCCTCTTTCCATCACCCCGCCCCATTCTCCCGCTTTCCATCACCCCGCCCCATTCTCCCGCTTTCCATCACCCCGCTCCATTCTCCCGCTTTCCATCACCCCGCCCAATTCTCCCTCTTTCTATCACCCCTCTCCATTTTCCCTCTTTCCATCACCCCTCCCCATTCTCCCGCCTTTCATCACCCCGCCCCATTCTCCCGCTTTCCATCACCCCGCCCAATTCTCCCGCTTTCCATCACCCCGCCCCATTCTCCCGCCTTCCATCACCCCGCCCCATTCTCCCTCTTTCCATCACCCCGCCCCATTCTCACGCTTTCCATCACCCCACCCCATTCTCCCTCTTTCCATCACCCCGCCCCATTCTCCCGCTTTCCATCACCCCGCCCCATTCTCCCTCTATCCATCACCCCGCCCAATTCTCCCACTTTCCATCACCCCGCCCCGTTCTCCTGCTTTCCATCACCCCGCCCCATTCTCCCGCTTTCCATCACCCCGCCCAATTCTCCCTCTTTCCATCACCCCTCCCCATTCTCCCTTTTTCCATAACCCCGCCCCATTCTCCCGCTTTCCATCACCCCGCCCCATTCTACCGCTTTCCATCACCCCGCCTCATTCTCCCTCTTTCCATCACCACGCCCCATTCTCCCTCTTTCCATCACCCCGCCCCATTCTCCCGCTTTCCATCACCCCGCCCCGTTCTCCCTCTTTCCATAACCCTGCCCCATTCTCCCGCTTTCCATCACCCTGCCCCATTCTCCCTCTTTCCATCACCCCACCCCGTTCTCCCGCTTTCGATCACCCCGCCCCATTCTCCTGCTTTCCATCACCCCGCCCCATTCTCCTGCTTTCCATCACCCCGCCCCATTCTCCCTCTTTCCATCACCCCGCCCCATTCTCCCGCTTTCCATCACCCCGCCCCATTCTCCCGCTTTCCATCACCCCGCCCCATTCTCCCGCTTTCCATCACCCCGTCCCATTCTCCCTCTTTCCATCACCCCGCCCCATTCTCCCGCTTTCCATCACCCCGCCCCATTCTTCCTCTTTCCATCTCCCCGCCCCATTCTCCCTCTTTCCATCACCCCGCCCCATTCTCCCTCTTTCCATCACCCCGCCCCATTCTCCCTCTTTCCATCACCCCGCCCCATTCTCCCGATTTCCGTCACCCCGCCCCATTCTTCCTCTTTCCATCACCCCGCCCCATTCTTCCTCTTTCCATCTCCCCGCCCCATTCTCCCTCTTTCCATCACCCCGCCCCATTCTCCCTCTTTCCATCACCCCGCCCCATTCTCCCTCTTTCCATCACCCCGCCCCATTCTCCCGATTTCCGTCACCCCGCCCCATTCTCCCTCTTTCCATCACCCCACCCCATTCTCCCGATTTCCGTCATCCTGCCCCATTCTCCCTCTTTCCATCACCCCGCCCCATTCTCCCTCTTTCCATCACCCCGCCCCATTCTCCCGATTTCCGTCACCCCGCCCCATTCTCCCTCTTTCCATCACCCCACCCCATTCTCCCGATTTCCGTCATCCTGCCCCATTCTCCCTCTTTCCATCACCCCGCCCCATTCTCCCTCTTTCCATCACCCCGCCCAATTCTCCCGCTTTCCATCACCCCGCCCCATTCTTCCTCTTTCCATCTCCCCGCCCCATTCTCCCTCTTTCCATCACCCCGCCCCATTCTCCCTCTTTCCATCACCCTGCCCCATTCTCCCTCTTTCCATCACCCCGCCCCATTCTCCCGATTTCCGTCACCCCGCCCCATTCTCCCTCTTTCCATCACCCCGCCCCATTCTCCCTCTTTCCATCACCCCGACCAATTCTCCTGCTTTCCATCACCCCGCCCCATTCTCCCTCTTTCCATCACCCCGCCCCATTCTTCCACTTTCCATCACCCCGCCCCATTCTCCCTCTTTCCATAACCCCGCCCCATACTCCCGCTTTCCATCACCCCGCCCCATTCTCCCTCTTTCCATCACCCCGCCCCATTCTCCCGCTTTCCATCACCCCGCCCCAATCTCCCTCATTCCATAACCCCGCCCCATTCTCCCGCTTTCCATCACCCCGCCCCATTCTCCCGCTTTCCATCACCCCGCCCCATTCTCCCTCTTTCCATCACCCCGCCCCGTTCTCCCGCTTTCCATCATCCTTCCCCATTCTCCCGCTTTCCATCACCCCGCCCCATTCTCCCGCTTTCCATCACCCCGCCCCATTCTCCCTCTTTCCATCACCCCGCCCCATTCTCCCGCTTTCCATCACCCCGCCCCATTCTCCCGCTTTCCATCACCCCGCCCCATTCTCCCGCTTTCCATCACCCCGTCCCATTCTCCCTCTTTCCATCACCCCGCCCCATTCGCCCGCTTTACATCACCCCGCCCCATTCTTCCTCTTTCCATCTCCCCGCCCCATTCTCCCTCTTTCCATCACCCATCCCCATTCTCCCTCTTTCCATCACCCCGCCCCACTCTCCCGATTTCCGTCACCCCGCCCCATTCTCCCTCTTTCCATCACCCCGCCCCATTCTCCGGATTTCCGTCACCCCGCCCCATTCTCCCTCTTTCCATCACCCCGCCCCATTCTTCCTCTTTCCATCTCCCCGCCCCATTCTCACGCTTTCCATCACCCCACCCCATTCTCCCTCTTTCCATCACCCCGCCCCATTCTCCCGCTTTCCATCACCCCGCCCCATTCTCCCTCTATCCATCACCCCGCCCAATTCTCCCACTTTCCATCACCCCGCCCCATTCTCCCGATTTCCATCACCCCGCCCCATTCTCCGCTTTCCATCACCCCTCCCCATTCTCCCGATTTCCATCACCCCGCCCATAGAGATAGGCGCCCCTAGAGATAGGCGCCACTAGAGATAGGCGCCCCTAGAGATAGGTGCCCATAGAGATAGACGCCCATAGAGATAGGTGCCCATAGAGATAGGCGCCCATAGAGATAGGCGCCCATAGAGATATGCGCCCATAGAGATAGGCGCCCACAGAGATAGGCGCCCCTAGAGATAGGCGCCCCTAGAGATAGGCGCCCATAGAGATAGGCGCCCAAAGAGATAGGCGCCCATAGACATAGGCGCCCCTAGAGATAGGCGCCCATAGAGATAGGCGCCCCTAGAGATAGCTGCCCCTAGAGATAGGCACCCCTAGAGATAGGCGCCCCTAGAGATATGCGCCCCTGGAGATAGGCGCCTCTAGAGATAGGTGCCCCTAGAGGTAGGCGCGCCTAGAGATGGGCGCCCATAGAGATAGGCGCCTCTAGAGATTTGCGCCCCTAAATAGACGCGCCCATAGAGATAGGCACCCATAGAGATAGGCGCCCCTAGAGATAGGCGCCCTTAGAGATAAACGCCCATAGAGATAGGAGCCCCTAGAGATAGGCGCCCATAGAGATAGACGCCCATAGAGATAGGCGCCCCTAGAGATAGGCGCCCCTAGAGATAGGGGCCCATAGAGATAGGCGCCCAAAGAGATAGGAGCCCCTAGAGATAGGCGCCCATAGAGATAGGCGCCCCTAGAGATAGCCGCCCATAGCGATAGGCACCCCTAGAGATAGGCGCCCATAGAGATAGGTGCCCATAGAGATAGGAGCCCATAGAGATAGGCGCCCATAGAGATAGGTGCCCATAGAGATAGGAGCCCCTAGAGATAGGCGCCCATAGAGATAGGCGCCCCTAGAGATAGCCGCCCATAGCGATAGGCACCCCTAGAGATAGGCGCCCCTCGAGATAGGCGCTTCTAGAGATAGGCGCCCATAGAGATAGGCGCCCCTAGAGATAGGCGCCCCTAGAGATAGGCGCCCATAGAGATAGGCGCCCAAAGGGATAGGCATCTCTAGAGATTGGCGCTCCTAAAGAGAGGCGCCCATAGAGATAGGCACACATAGAGATAGGCGCCCCTAGTGATAGGCGCACCTAGAGATACGCGCCGCTAAAGATAGGCGCTCTAGAGATAGGCGCCCCAAGAGATAGGCGGCCATAGAGATAGGCGCCCATAGAGATAGGCGCCCAAAGAGATAGTCGCCTATCGAGATAGGCGCCCCTAGAGATAGGCGCCCATAGAGATATGCGCCCCTAGAGATAGCCGCCCCTAGAGATAGGCACCCCTAGAGATACCCTAAACCCTAGAGATAGGCGCCCCTCGGGATAGACGCCCCTAGAGATACGTGCCCCTAGAGATTGGCGCCCTTAGAGATAGGCGCCCCTAGAGATAGGCGCCCATAGAGATAGGCTGCCGCTAGAGATAGGCGCCCCTAGAGATAGGCGCCCCTAGAGATAGGCGCCCATAGAGATAGGCGCCCATAGAGATAGGCGCCCCCAGAGATAGGCACCCATAGAGATAAGCGCCCACAGAGATAGGCGCCCCATAGAGATAGGCACCCCTAGAGATAGGCGCCCATAGAGATAGGCGCCCATAGAGATAGGCGCCCATAGAGATAGGCGCCCATAGAGATAGGCGCCCCAAGAGATAGGCGCCCCTAGAGATAGGCGCCCAAAGAGATAGCCGGCCATAGAGATAGGCGCCCCTAGAGATAGGCGCCCATAGAGATAGGTGCCCATAGAGATAGCCGCCCCTAGAGATAGGCACCCCTAGAGATAGGCGCCCCTAGAGATAGGCGCCCCTAGAGATAGGCGCCCATAGAGATAGGTGCCCATAGAGATAGCCGCCCCTAGAGATAGGCGCCCCTAGAGATAGGCACCCCATAGAGATAGGCGCCCAAAGAGATAGCCGCCCTTAGAGATAGGCGCCCCTGGAGATAGGCGCCCCTAGAAATAGGTGCCCCTAGAGGTAGGCGCCCCTAGAGATGGGCGACCATAGAGATAGGCGCCTCTAGAGATTGGCGCCCCTAAAGAGAGGCGCCCATAGAGATAGGCGCCCATAGAGGTAGGCACCCCTAGAGATAGGCTCCCCTTGAGATAGACGCCCATAGAGATAGCCGCCCCTAGAGATAGGCGCCCATAGAGATAGGTGCCCCTAGAGATTGGCGCCCATAGAGATATGCGCCCCTAGAGATAGGCGCTCCTAGAGATAGGCGCCCCTAGAGATAGGCGCCACTAGAGATAGGCGCCCCTAGAGATAGGCGCCCACAGAGATAGGCACCCCTAGAGATAGGCGCCAATAGAGATAGGCGCCCATAGAAATAGGCGCCCATAGAGATAGGCGCCCATAGAGATCGGCGCCCATAGAGATAGGCGCCCATAGAGATAGGCGCCCATAGAGATAGGCGCCCATAGAAATAGGCGCCCATAGAGATAGGCGCCCATAGAGATAGGCGCCCCTAGAGATAGGCGCCCATAGAGATAGGAGCCCATAGAGATAGGCGCCCATAGAGATAGGCGCCCATAGAGATAGGCGCCCATAGAGATAGGCGCCCATAGAGATAGGCGCCCATAGAGATAGGCGCCCATAGAGATAGGCGCCCATAGAGATAGGCCCCCATAGAGATAGGCGCCCATAGAGATAGGCGCCCCTAGAGATAGGCGCCCATAGAGATAGGCGCCCATAGAGATAGGCGCCCCTAGAGATAGGCGCCCCTAGAGATAGGCGCCCATAGAGATAGGCGCCCATAGAGATAGGCGCCCGTAGAGATAGGCGCCCATAGAGATAGGCGCCCATAGAGATAGGCACCCATAGAGATAGGTGCCCCTAGAGATTGGCGCCCATAGAGATATGCGTCCCTAGAGATAGGCGCCCTTAGAGATAGGCGCCCCTAGAGATAGGCGCCCATAGAGATAGGCACCGCTAGAGATAGGCGCCACTACAGATAGGCGCCCCTAGAGATAGGCGCCCATAGAGATAGGCACCCCTAGAGATAGGCGCCCATAGAGATAGGCGCCCATAGAGATAGGCGCCCATAGAGATAGGCACCCCTAGAGATAGGCGCCCCTTGAGATAGACGCCCATAGAGATAGCCGCCCCTAGAGATAGGCGCCCATAGAGATAGGCACCCATAGAGATAGGTGCCCTTAGAGATTGGCGCCCATAGAGATATGCGCCCCTAGAGATAGGCGCTCCTAGAGATAGGCGCCCCTAGAGATAGGCGCCCCTAGAGATAGGCGCCCATAGAGATAGGCGCCCCTAGAGATAGGCGCCACTAGAGATAGGCGCCCCTAGAGATAGGCGCCCATAGAGATAGGCACCCCTAGAGATAGGCGCCCATAGAGATAGGCGCCCATAGAGATAGGCGCCCATAGAGATAGGCGCCCATAGAGATAGGCGCCCATAGAGATAGGCGCCCATAGAGATAGGCGCCCATAGAGATAGGAGCCCATAGAGATAGGCGCCCATAGAGATAGGCGCCCATAGAGATAGGCGCCCATAGAGATAGGAGCCCATAGAGATAGGCGCCCATAGAGATAGGCGCCCATAGAGATAGGCGCCCCTAGAGATAGGCGCCCCTAGAGATAGGCGCCCATAGAGAGAGGCGCCCATAGAGATAGGCGCCCCCAGAGATAGGCACCCATAGAGATAAGCGCCCACAGAGATAGGCGCCCCATAGGGATAGGCACCCCTAGAGATAGGCGCCCATAGAGATAGGCGCCCATAGAGATAGGCGCCCATAGAGATAGGCGCCCCAAGCGATAGGCGCCCCTAGAGATAGGCGCCCATAGAGATAGGCGCCCAAAGAGATAGCCGCCCATAGAGATAGGCGCCCCTAGAGATAGGCGCCCATAGAGATAGGTGCCCCTAGAGATAGCCGCCCCTAGAGATAGGCACCCCTAGAGATAGGCGCCCTTAGAGATAGGTGCCCCCAGAGATAGGTGCCCCTAGAGGTAGGCGCCCCTAGAGATGGGCGACCATAGAGATAGGCGCCTCTAGAGATTGGCGCCCCTAAAGAGAGGCGCCCATAGAGATAGGCGCCCATAGAGATAGGCACCCCTAGAGATAGGCGCCCCTTGAGATAGACGCCCATAGAGATAGCCGCCCCTAGAGATAGGCGCCCATAGAGATAGGCGCCCATAGAGATGGGTGCCCCTAGAGATTGGCGCCCATAGAGATATGCGCCCCTAGAGATAGGCGCTCCTAGAGATAGGCGCCCCTAGAGATAGGCGCCCCTAGAGATAGCCGCCCCTAGAGATAGGCGCCCACAGAGATAGGCACCCCTAGAGATAGGCGCCAATAGAGATAGGCGCCCATAGAGATAGGCGCCCATAGAGATAGGCGCCCATAGAGATCGGCGCCCATAGAGATAGGCGCCCATAGAGATCGGCGCCCATAGAGATAGGCGCCCATAGAGATAGGCGCCCATAGAGATAGGCGCCCCTAGAGATAGGCGCCCATAGAGATAGGAGCCCATAGAGATAGGCGCCCATAGAGATAGGCGCCCCTAGAGATAGGCGCCCATAGAGATAGGCGCCCCTAGAGATAGGCGCCCATAGAGATAGGCGCCCCTAGAGATAGGCGCCCATAGAGATAGGCGCCCCTAGAGATAGCCGCCCCTAGAGATAGGCATCCCTAGAGATAGGCGGCCCTAGAGATAGGCGCCCCTGGAGATAGGCGCCACTAGAGATAGGTGCCCCTAGAGGTAGGCGCCCCTAGAGATGGGCGCCCATAGAGATAGGCGCCTCTAGAAATTGGCGCCCCTAAAGAGAGGACCCATAGAGATAGGCGCCTATAGAGATATGTGCCCCTAGAGATACGCGCCCCTAGAGATAGACGCCCATAGAGATAGGCGCCCCTAGAGATAGGCGCCCATATAGATATGCGCCCATAGAGATAGGCGCCCCTAGAGATAGGCGCCCCTAGAGATAGGCGCCCATAGAGATAGGCGCCCAAAGAGATAGGCGCACATAGAGATTGGCGCCCCTAAAGAGAGGCGCCCATAGAGATAGGCGCACATAGAGATAGGCGCCCCCAGAGATAGGCGCCCAAAGAGATAGGCGCCCATAGAGATAGGCGCCCCTAGAGATAGGCGCCCATAGAGATAGGCGCCCCTAGAGATAGCCGCCCCTAGAGATAGGCACCCCTAGAGATAGGCGCCCCTAGAGATATGCGCCCCTGAAGATAGGCGCCTCTAGAGATAGGTGCCCCTAGAGGTAGGCGCCCCTAGAGATGGGCGCCCATAGAGATTGGCGCCTCTAGAGATTTGCGCCCCTAAAGAGACGCGCCCATAGAGATAGGCGCCCATAGAGATAGGCGCCCCTAGAGATAGGCGCCCTTAGAGATAAACGCCCATAGAGATAGGCGCCCCTAGAGATAGGCGCCCATAGAGATAGACGCCCATAGAGATAGGCGCCCCTAGAGATAGGCGCCCCTAGAGATAGGGGCCCATAGAGATAGGCGCCCAAAGAGATAGGTGCCCATAGAGATAGGAGCCCCTAGAGATAGGCGCCCATAGAGATAGGCGCCCCTAGAGATAGCCGCCCATAGCGATAGGCACCCCTAGAGATTGGCGCCCCTATAGATAGGCGCCCCTGGAGATAGGCGCCCCTAGAGATAGGCGCCCCTAGAGATAGGCGCCCCTAGAGATAGGCACCCCTAGAGATTGGCGCCCCTATAGATAGGCGCCCCTAGAGATAGGCGCCCCTAGAGATAGGCGCCCATAGAGATAGGCGCCCAAAGAGATAGGCGCCCATTGAGGTAGGCGCCCATAGAGATAGGCGCCCATAGAGATAGGCGCCCATAGAGATAGGCGCCCCTAGAGATAGGCGCCCATAGAGATATGCGCCCCTAGAGATAGGCGCCCCTAGAGATAGGCGCCCAAAGAGATAGGCGCCCATAGAGATAGGCGCCCCTAGAGATAGCCGCCCCTAGAGATAGGCACCCCTAGAGATAGGCGCCCCTAGAGATTGGCGCCCCTGGAGATAGGCGGCGCTAGAGATAGGTGCCCCAAGAGATAGCCGCCCCTAGAGAAAGGCACCCCTAGAGATAGTTGCAACTAGAGATAGGCGCCCCTAAAGATAGGCGCCCCTAGAGATAGGTGCCCCTAGAGGTAGGCGCCCCTAGAGATGGGCGACCATAGAGATAGGCACCTCTAGAGATTGGCGCCCCTAAAGAGAGGCGCCCATAGAGATAGGCGCCCGTAGAGATAGGCGCCCCTAGAGATAGGCGCCCCTTGAGATAGACGCCCATAGAGACAGGCGCCCCTAGAGATAGGCGCCCATAGAGATAGGCGCCCATAGAGATAGGCGCCCCTAGAGATAGGCGCCCCTAGAGATAGGCGCCCATAGAGATAGGCGCCCAAAGGGATAGGCACCTCTTGAGATTGGCGCCCTTTAAGAGAGGCGCCCATAGAGATAGGCGCACATAGAGATAGGCGCCCCTAGTGATAGGTGCCCCTAGAGATAGGCGCCGCTAAAGATAGGCGCCCTAGAGATAGGCGCCCCAAGAGATAGGCGCCCATAGAGATAGGCGCCCATAGAGATAGGCGCCCAAAGATATAGTCGCCTATCGAGATAGGCGCCCCTAGAGATTGGCGCCCATAGAGATATGCGCCCCTAGAGATAGGCGCCCCTAGAGATAGGCGCCCATAGAGATATGCGCCCCTAGAGATAGGCACCCCTAGAGATAGGCGCCCCTAGAGATAGGCGCCCCTCGGGATAGACGCCCCTAGAGATACGTGCCCCTAGAGATTGGCGCCCTTAGAGATAGGCGCCCCTAGAGATAGGCGCCCATAGAGATAGGCCGCCGCTAGAGATAGGCGCCCCTAGAGATAGGCGCCCCTAGAGATAGGCGCCCATAGAGATAGGCGCCCATAGAGATAGGCGCCCCCAGAGATAGGCACCCATAGAGATAAGCGCCCACAGAGATAGGCGCCCCATAGAGATAGGCACCCCTAGAGATAGGCGCCCATAGAGATAGGCGCCCATAGAGATAGGCGCCCATAGAGATAGGCGCCCATAGAGATAGGCGCCCCAAGAGATAGGCGCCCCTAGGGATAGGCGCCCAAAGAGATAGCCGCCCATAGAGATAGGCGCCCCTAGAGATAGGCGCCCATAGAGATAGGTGCCCCTAGAGATAGGCACCACTAGAGATAGGCGCCCCTAGAGATAGGCGCCCCTAGAGATAGGCGCCCATAGAGATAGGTGCCCATAGAGATAGCCGCCCCTAGAGATAGGCGCCCCTAGAGATAGGCACCCCATAGAGAGAGGCGCCCAAAGAGATAGCCGCCCTTAGAGATAGGCGCCCCTGGAGATAGGCGCCCCTAGAGATAGGTGCCCCTAGAGGTAGGCGCCCCTAGAGATGGGCGACCATAGAGATAGGCGCCTCTAGAGATTGGCGCCCCTAAAGAGAGGCGCCCATAGAGATAGGCGCCCATAGAGGTAGGCACCCCTAGAGATAGGCTCCCCTTGAGATAGACGCCCATAGAGATAGCCGCCCCTAGAGATAGGCGCCCATAGAGATAGGTGCCCCTAGAGATTGGCGCCCATAGAGATATGCGCCCCTAGAGATAGGCGCTCCTAGAGATAGGCGCCCCTAGAGATAGGCGCCACTAGAGATAGGCGCCCCTAGAGATAGGCGCCCACAGAGATAGGCACCCCTAGAGATATTCGCCCATAGAGATAGTCGCCCATAGAGATAGGCGCCCATAGAGATAGGCGCCCATAGAGATAGGCGCCCATAGAGATAGGCGCCCATAGAGATAGGCGCCCCTAGAGATAGGCGCCCCTAGAGATAGGCGCCCATAGAGAGAGGCGCCCATAGAGATAGGCGCCCCCAGAGATAGGGACCCATAGAGATAAGCGCCCACAGAGATAGGCGCCCCATAGGGATAGGCACCCCTAGAGATAGGCGCCCATAGAGATAGGCGCCCATAGAGATAGGTGCCCATAGAGATAGGCGCCCACAGAGATAGGCGCCCCAAGAGAGAGGCGCCCCTAGAGATAGGCGCCCATAGAGATAGCCGCCCATAGAGATAGGCGCCCCTAGAGATAGGCGCCCAAAGAGATAGCCGCCCATAGAGATAGGCGCCCCTAGAGATAGGCGCCCATAGAGATAGGTGCCCCTAGAGATAGTTGCCCCTAGAGATAGGCACCCCTATAGATAGGCGCCCTTAGAGATAGGTGCCCCCAGAGATAGGTGCCCCTAGAGGTAGGCGCCCCTAGAGATGGGCGACCATAGAGATAGGCGCCTCTAGAGATTGGCGCCCCTAAAGAGAGGCGCCCATAGAGATAGGCGCCCATAGAGATAGGCACCCCTAGAGATAGGCGCCCCTTGAGATAGACGCCCATAGAGATAGCCGCCCCTAGAGATAGGCGCCCATAGACATAGGCGCCCATAGAGATAGGTGCCCCTAGAGATTGGCGCCCATAGAGATATGCGCCCCTATAGATAGGCGCTCCTAGAGATAGGCGCCCCTAGAGATAGGCGCCACTAGAGATAGGCGCCCCTAGAGATAGGCGCCCACAGAGATAGGCACCCCTAGAGATAGGCGCCAATAGAGATAGGCGCCCATAGAAATAGGCGCCCATAGAGATAGGCGCCCCTAGAGATAGGCGCCACTAGAGATAGGCGCCCCTAGAGATAGGCACCCCTAGAGATAGGCACCCATAGAGATAGGCGCCCATAGAGATAGGCGCCCATAGAGATAGGCGCCCATAGAGATAGGCGCCCATAGAGATAGGCGCCCAAAGAGATAGGCGCCCATAGAGATAGGCGCCCATAGAGATAGGCGCCCATAGAGATAGGCGCCCATAGGGATAGGCGCCCATAGAGATAGGCGCCCATAGAGATAGGCGCCCATAGAGATAGGCGCCCATAGAGATAGGTGCCCATAGAGATAGGCGCCCATAGAGAAAGGCGCCCATAGAGATAGGCGCCCATAGAGATATGCGCCCTTAGAGATAGGCGCTCCTAGGGATAGGCGCCCCTAGAGATAGGCGCCTCTAGAGATAGGCGCCCTTAGAGATAGACGCCCCTAGAGATAGGCGCCCCTAGAGATAGGCGCCCATAGAGATAGGCGCCCATAGAGATAGGCGCCCATAGAGATAGGCGCCCATAGAGATAGGCGCCCCTAGAGATAGGCGCCCCTAGAGATAGGCGCCCATAGAGATAGGCGCCCATAGAGATAGGCGCCCATAGAGATAGGTGCCCCCAGAGATTGGCGCCCATAGAGATACGCGCCCCTAGAGATAGGCGCTCCTAGAGATAGGCAACCCTAGAGATAGGCGCCACTGGAGATAGGCGCCCATAGAGATAGGCGCCCATAGAGATAGGCGCCCGAAGAGATAGGCGCCCAAAGAGGTAGGCGCCCATAGAGATAGGCGCCCAAAGAGATAGGCGCCCATAGAGGTAGGCGCCCATAGAGATAGGCGCCCATAGAGATAGGCGCCCATAGAGATAGGCGCCCCTAGAGATAGGCGCCCATAGAGATATGCGCCCCTAGAGATAGGCGCCCCTAGAGATAGGCGCCCAAAGAGATAGGCGCCCATAGATATAGGCGCCCATAGAGATAGGCGCCCATAGAGATAGGTGCCCCTAGAGATTGGCGCCCATAGAGATAGGCGCCCCTAGAGATAGGCGCCCATAGAGATAGGCGCCCATAGAGATAGGCGCCCATAGAGATAGGCGCCCATAGAGATAGGCGCCCATAGAGATAGGCGCCCATAAAGATAGGCGCCCATAGAGATAGGCTCTCATAGAGATAGGCGCCCCTAGAGATAGGCGCCCCTAGAGATAGGCGCCCATAGAGATAGGCGCCCATAGAGATAGGCGCCCCTAGAGATAGGCGCCCATAGAGATAGGCGCCCATAGAGATAGGCACCCATAGAGATCGGTGCCCCTAGAGATTGGCGCCCATAGAGATATGCGCCCCTACAGATAGGCGCTCCTAGAGATAGGCGCCCCTAGAGATAGGCGCCCCTAGAGATAGGTGCCCATAGAGATAGGCGCCCATAGAGATAGGTGCCCATAGAGATAGGCGCCACTACAGATAGGCGCCCCTAGAGATAGGCGCCCATAGAGATAGGCACCCCTAGAGATAGGCGCCCATAGAGATAGGCGCCCCTAGAGATAGGCGCCACTACAGATAGGCGCCCCTAGAGATAGGCGCCCATAGAGATAGGCACCCCTAGAGATAGGCGCCCATAGAGATAGGCGCCCATAGAGATAGGCGCCCATAGAGATAGGCACCCCTAGAGATAGGCGCCCCTTGAGATAGACGCCCATAGAGATAGCCGCCCCGAGAGATAGGCGCCCATAGAGATAGGCGCCCATAGAGATAGGTGCCCTTAGAGATTGGCGCCCATAGAGATATGCGCCCCTAGAGATAGGCGCTCCTAGAGATAGGCGCCCCTAGAGATAGGCGCCCCTAGAGATAGGCGCCCATAGAGATAGGCGCCCCTAGAGATAGGCGCCACTAGAGAAAGGCGCCTATAGAGATAGGCGCCCCTAGAGATAGGCGCCCATAGAGATATGCGCCCCTAGAGATAGGCGCCCCTAGAGATAGGCGCCCAAAGAGATAGGCGCCCATAGAGATAGGCGCCCATAGAGATAGGCGCCCATAGAGATAGGTGCCCCTAGAGATTGGCGCCCATAGAGATAGGCGCCCCTAGAGATAGGCGCCTATAGAGATAGGCGCCCATAGAGATAGGCGCCCATAGAGATAGGCGCCCATAGAGATAGGCGCCCATAGAGATAGGCGCCCCTAGAGATAGGCGCCCATAGAGATAGGCGCCCATAGAGATAGGCGCCCCTAGAGATAGGCGCCCATAGAGATAGGCGCCCATAGAGATAGGCGCCCATAGAGATAGGCGCCCATAGAGATAGGCGCCCATAGAGATAGGCGCCCATAGAGATAGGCGCCCATAGAGATAGGCACCTATAGAGATAGGCGCCCATAGTGATAGGCGCCCATAGAGATAGGCGCCCATAGAGATAGGCGCCCCTAGCGATAGGCGCCCATAGAGATAGGCGCCCATAGAGATAGGCACCCATAGAGATAGGTGCCCCTAGAGATTGGCGCCCATAGAGATAGGCGCCCCTAGAGATAGGCGCCCATAGAGATAGGCGCCCATAGAGATAGGCGCCCATAGAGATAGGCACCCATAGAGATAGGCGCCCATAGAGATAGGCGCCCCTAGAGATAGGCGCCCATAGAGATAGGCGCCCATAGAGATAGGCACCCATAGAGATAGGTGCCCCTAGAGATTGGCGCCCATAGAGATAGGCGCCCCTAGAGATAGGCGCCCCTAGAGATAGGCGCCCATAGAGATAGGCGCCCATAGAGATAGGCGCCCATAGAGATAGGTGCCCCCAGAGATTGGCGCCCATAGAGATATGCGCCCCTAGAGATAGGCGCTCCTAGAGATAGGCAACCCTAGAGCTAGGCGCCACTGGAGATAGGCGCCCATAGAGATAGGCGCCCATAGAGATAGGCGCCCAAAGAGATAGGCGCCCAAAGAGGTAGGCGCCCATAGAGATAGGCGCCCAAAGAGATAGGCGCCCATAGAGGTAGGCGCCCATAGAGATAGGCGCCCATAGAGATAGGCGCCCATAGAGATAGGCGCCCCTAGAGATAGGCGCCCATAGAGATATGCGCCCCTAGAGATAGGCGCCCCTAGAGATAGGCGCCCAAAGAGATAGGCGCCCATAGAGATAGGCGCCCATAGAGATAGGCGCCCATAGAGATAGGTGCCCATAGAGATAGGCGCCCATAGAGATAGGCGCCCATAGAGATATGCGCCCCTAGAGATAGGTGCCCATAGAGATAGGCGCCCATAGAGATATGCGCCCCTAGAGATAGGCGCCCCTAGAGATAGGCGCCCAAAGAGATAGGCGCCCATAGAGATAGGCGCCCATAGAGATAGGCGCCCATAGAGATAGGTGCCCCTAGAGATTGGCGCCCATAGAGATAGGCGCCCCTAGAGATAGGCGCCTATAGAGATAGGCGCCCATAGAGATAGGCGCCCATAGAGATAGGCGCCCATAGAGATAGGCGCCCATAGAGATAGGCGCCCCTAGAGATAGGCGCCCATAGAGATAGGCGCCCATAGAGATAGGTGCCCATAGAGATAGGCGCCCATAGAGATAGGCGCCCATAGAGATAGGCGCCCCTAGAGATAGGCGCCCATAGAGATAGGCGCCCATAGAGATAGGCGCCCATAGAGATAGGCGCCCATAGAGATAGGCGCCCATAGAGATAGGCGCCCATAGAGATAGGCGCCCATAGAGATAGGCGCCCATAGAGATAGGCACCTATAGAGATAGGCGCCCATAGAGATAGGCGCCCATAGAGATAGGCGCCCATAGAGATAGGCGCCCCTAGAGATAGGCGCCCATAGAGATAGGCGCCCATAGAGATAGGCACCCATAGAGATAGGTGCCCCTAGAGATTGGCGCCCATAGAGATAGGCGCCCCTAGAGAAAAGCGCCCATAGAGATAGGCGCCCATAGAGATAGGCGCTCATAGAGATAGGCACCCATAGAGATAGGCGCCCATAGAGATAGGCGCCCCTAGAGATAGGCGCCCATAGAGATAGGCGCCCATAGAGATAGGCACCCATAGAGATAGGTGCCCCTAGAGATTGGCGCCCATAGAGATAGGCGCCCCTAGAGATAGGCGCCCCTATAGATAGGCGCCCATAGAGATAGGCGCCCATAGAGATAGGCGCCCATAGAGATAGGTGCCCCCAGAGATTGGCGCCCATAGAGATATGCGCCCCTAGAGAAAGGCGCTCCTAGAGATAGGCAACCCTAGAGATAGGCGCCACTGGAGATAGGCGCCCATAGAGATAGGCGCCCATAGAGATAGGCGCCCAAAGAGATAGGCGCCCAAAGAGGTAGGCGCCCATAGAGATAGGCGCCCAAAGAGATAGGCGCCCATAGAGGTAGGCGCCCATAGAGATAGGCGCCCATAGAGATAGGCGCCCATAGAGATAGGCGCCCCTAGAGATAGGCGCCCATAGAGATATGCGCCCCTAGAGATAGGCGCCCCTAGAGATAGGCGCCCAAAGAGATAGGCGCCCATAGAGACAGGCGCCCATAGAGATAGGCGCCCATAGAGATAGGTGCCCCTAGAGATTGGCGCCCATAGAGATAGGCGCCCCTAGAGATAGGCGCCCATAGAGATAGGCGCCCATAGAGATAGGCGCCCATAGAGATAGGCGGCCCTAGAGATAGGCGCCCATAGAGATAGGCGCCCATAGAGATAGGCGCCCATAGAGATAGGCGCCCATAGAGATAGGCGCCCATAGAGATAGGCGCCCATAGAGATAGGCGCCCATAGAGATAGGCGCCCATAGAGATAGGCGCCCCTAGAGATAGGCGCCCCTAGAGATAGGCGCCCATAGAGATAGGCGCCCATAGAGATAGGCGCCCCTAGAGATAGGCGCCCATAGAGATAGGCGCCCATAGAGATAGGCGCCCATAGAGATAGGCGCCCATAGAGATAGGCGCCCATAGAGATAGGCGCCCATAGAGATAGGCGCCCCTAAAGATAGGCGCCCATAGAGATAGGCGCCCCTAGAGATAGGCGCCCATAGAGATAGGCGCCCATAGAGATAGGCGCCCATAGAGATAGGCGCCCATAGAGATAGGCGCCCATAGAGATAGGCGCCCATAGAGATATGCGCCCTTAGAGAAAGACGCTCCTAGAGATAGGCGCCCATAGAGATAGGCGCCCCTAGAGATAGGCGCCCATAGAGATAGGCGCCCATAGAGATAGGCGCCCATAGAGATAGGCGCCCATAGAGATAGGCGCCCATAGAGATAGGCGCCCATAGAGATAGGCGCCCATAGAGATAGGTGCCCATAGAGATAGACGCCCATAGAGATAGGCGCCCCTAGAGATAGGCGCCCCTAGAGATAGGCGCCCATAGAGATAGGCGCCCATAGAGATAGGCGCCCATAGAGGTAGGCGCCCATAGAGATAGGCGCCCATAGAGATAGGCGCCCATAGAGATAGGCCCCCATAGAGATAGGCGCCCATAGAGATAGGCGCCCATAGAGATAGGCGCCCGTAGAGATAGGCGCCCATAGAGATATGCGCCCCTAGAGATAGGCACCCCTAGAGATAGGCGCCCCTAGAGATAGGCGCCCCTAGAGATAGGCGCCCATAGAGATAGGCGCCCCTAGAGATAGGCGCCACTAGAGATAGGCGCCCCTAGAGATAGGCGCCCATAGAGATAGGCGCCCATAGAGATAGGCGCCCCTAGAGATAGGCGCCCCTAGAGATAGGCACCCATAGAGATAGGCGCCCAAAGAGATAGGCGCCCATAGAGATAGGCGCCCATAGAGATAGGCGCCCCTAGAGATAGGCGCCCCTGGAGATAGGCGCCCCTAGAGCTAGGCGCCCCTAGAGATAGGCGCCCATAGAGATAGGCGCCCATAGAGAAAGGCGCCCCTAAAGACAGGCGCCCCTAGAGATAGGCGCCCCTATAGATAGGCGCCCCTAGAGATAGGCGTCCCTAGGGATAGGAGCCCCTAGAGATAGGCGCCCCTAGAGAGGCGCCCCTCGAGATAGGCGTCCATAGAGGCAAGCGACCCTAGAGATAGGCGCCCCTAGAGATAGGCGCCCTCAGAGATCGGTGTCCCTAGAGATGGGTGTCCATAGAGATAGGCGCCTCTAGAGATAGGCGCGATGCACCCATAGAGATAGGCGCCCATAGAGATAGGCGCCCCTAGAGATAGGCGTCCATAGAGATAGGCGCCCATAGAGATAGGCGCCCATAGAGATAGGCGCCCCTAGAGACAGGCGCCTCTAGAGATAGGTGCCCCTAGAGATAGGCGCCCCGAGAGATAGGCCCCCTTAGAGATCTAAACCCCTAGAGATAGTCACCCATAGAGATAGGCGCCCCTAGAGGTAGGCGCCCCTAGAGATAGTTGCCCATAGAGATAGGCGCCCATAGAGATAGGCGCCCTTAGAGATAGGAGCCCATAGAGATAGGCGCCCCTAGAGATAGGCGCCCATACAGATAGGCCCCCCTAGAGACAGGCGCCCCCAGGGAAAGGCGCCCCTAGAGATAGACGCCCATAGAGATAGGCGCCCCTAGAGATGGGCGCCCATAGAGATAGGTGCCCATAGAGATAGGCGCCCCTAGAGATAGGCGCGAGGCGCCCATAGAGATAAGCGCCCATAGAGATAGGCGCCCATAGAGATCGGCGCCCATAGAGATAGGCGCCCATAGAGATAGGCACCCCTAGAGATAGGCGCCCCTTGAGATAGACTCCCATAGAGATAGCCGCCCCTAGAGATAGGCGCCCATAGAGATAGGCGCCCATAGAGATAGGTGCCCTTAGAGATTGGCGCCCATAGAGATATGCGCCCCTAAAGATAGGCCCTCCTAGAGATAGGCGCCCCTAGAGATAGGCGCCACTAGAGATAGGCGCCCCTCGAGATAGGCGCACATAGAGATAGGCACCCCTAGAGTTAGGCGCCCATAGAGATAGGCGCCCATAGAGATTGGCGCCCATAGAGATAGGCGCCCATAGAGATAGGCGCCCATAGAGATAGGCGCCCATAGAGATATGCGCCCATAGAGATAGGCGCCCATAGAGATATGCGCCCATAGAGATAGGCACCCATAGAGATTGGCGCCCATAGAGATAGGCGCCCATAGAGATAGGCGCCCATAGAGATAGGCGCCCATAGAGATAGGCGCCCATAGAGATAGGCGCCCATAGAGATAGGCGCCCATAGAGATAGGCGCCCATAGAGATAGGCGCCCATAGCATAGATAGGCGCCCATAGAGATAGGCGCCCATAGAGATAGGCGCCCATAGAGATAGGCGCCCATAGAGATAGGCGCCCATAGAGATATGCGCCCTTAGAGATAGACGCTCCTAGAGATAGGCGCCCATAGAGATAGGCGCCCCTAGAGATAGGCGCCACTAGAGATAGGCGCCCCTAGAGATAGGCGCCCATAGAGATAGGCGCCCCTAGAGATAGGCGCCACTAGAGATAGGCGCCCCTAGAGATAGGCGCCCATAGAGATAGGCGCCCATAGAGATAGGCGCCCATAGAGATAGGCGCCCATAGAGATAAGCGCCCATAGAGATAGCCGCCCATAGAGATCGGCGCCCATAGAGATAGGCGCCCATAGAGATAGGCACCCCTAGAGATAGGCGCCCCTTGAGATAGACGCCCATAGAGATAGCCGCCCCTAGAGATAGGCGCCCATAGAGATAGGCGCCCATAGAGATAGGTGCCCTTAGAGATTGGCGCCCATAGAGATATGCGCCCCTAAATATAGGCCCTCCTAGAGATAGGCGCCCCTAGAGATAGGCGCCACTAGAGATAGGCGCCCCTAGAGATAGGCGCACATAGAGATAGGCACCCCTAGAGATAGGCGCCCATAGAGATAGGCGCCCATAGAGATTGGCGCCCATAGAGATACGCGCCCATAGAGATAGGCGCCCATAGAGATAGGCGCCCATAGAGATATGCGCCCATAGAGATAGGCGCCCATAGAGATATGCGCCCATAGAGATAGGCGCCCATAGAGATTGGCGCCCATAGAGATAGGCGCCCATAGAGATAGGCGCCCATAGAGATAGGCGCCCATAGAGATAGGCGCCCATAGAGATAGGCGCCCATAGAGATAGGCGCCCATATAGATAGGCGCCCATAGAGATAGGCGCCCATAGAGATAGGCGCCCATAGAGATAGGCGCCCATAGAGATAGGCGCCCATAGAGATAGGCGCCCATAGAGATAGGCGCCCATAGAGATATGCGCCCTTAGAGATAGACGCTCCTAGAGATAGGCGCCCATAGAGATAGGCGCCCCTAGAGATAGGCGCCACTAGAGATAGGCGCCCGTAGAGATAGGCGCCCATAGAGATAGGCGCCCATAGAGATAGGCGCCCATAGAGATAGGCGCCCATAGAGATAGGCGCCCATAGAGATAGGCGCCCATAGAGATAGGCGCCCATAGAGATAGGCGCCCATAGAGATAGGCGCCCATAGAGATAGGCGCCCATAGAGATAGGCGCCCATAGAGATAGACGCCCATAGAGATAGGCGCCCCTAGAGGTAGGCGCCCATAGAGATAGGCGCCCATAGAGATAGGCGCCCATAGAGATAGGCGCCACTAGAGATAGGCGCCCCCAGAGATAGGCGCCGCTAAAGATAGGCGCCCATAGAGATAGGCGCCCCTAGAGATAGGCGCCCATAGAGATAGGCGCCCATAGAGATAGGCGCCCCTATAGATAGGGGCCCCTAGAGATAGGCGCCCATAGAGATAGGCGCCCAAAGAGATAGGCACCCATAGAGATAGGCGCCCATAGAGATAGGCGCCCAAAGAGAAAGGCGCCCATAGAGATAGGCGCCCCTAGAGATAGGCGCCCATAGAGATAGGCGCCACTAGAGATAGGCGCCCCTAGAGATAGGCGCCCATAGAGATAGGCGCCCGTAGAGAAAGGCGCCCATAGAGATATGCGCCCATAGAGATGGGCGCCCATAGAGATAGGCGCCACTAGAGATAGGCGCCCCTAGAGATAGGCGCCCATAGAGATAGGCGCCCAAAGAAATAGGCGCCCAAAGAGATAGGCGCCCCTAGAGATAGGCGCCCATAGAGATAGGCGCCCCTAGAGATAGGCGCACATAGAGATTGGCGCCCATAGAGATAGGCGCCCATAGAGATAGGCGCCCATAGAGATAGGCGCCCCTAGAGATAGGCGCCCATAGAGATTGGCGCCCAAAGAGATAGGCGCCTCTGGAGATTGGCGCCCCTAAAGAGAGGCGCCCATAGAGAAAGGTGCACATAGAGATAAGCGCCCCTAGAGATAGGCGCCGCTAAAGATAGGCGCCCATAGAGATAGGCGCCCCTAGAGATAGGCGCCCATAGAGATAGGCGCCCATAGAGATAGGCGCCCATAAAGATAGGCGCCCCTAGAGATAGGCGCCCATAGAGATAGGCGCCCAAAGAGATAGGCACCCATAGAGATAGGCGCCCATAGAGATAGGCGCCCATAGAGATAGGCGCCCATAGAGATAGGCGCCCCTAGAGATAGGTGCCCATAGAGATAGGCGCCACTAGAGATAGGCGCCCCTAGAGATAGGCGCCCATAGAGATAGGCGCCCATAGAGATAGGCGCCCATAGAGATAGGCGCCCATAGAGATAGGCGCCCATAGAGATAGGCGCCCATAGAGATAGGCGCCCATAGAGATAGGCGCCCATAGAGATAGGCGCCCATAGGGATTGGCGCCCCTAGAGATAGGCGCCCATAGAGATAGGCGCCACTAGAGATAGGCGCCCCTAGAGATAGGCGCCCATAGAGATAGGCGCCCGTAGAGATAGGCGCCCATAGAGATATGCGCCCATAGAGATGGGCGCCCATAGAGATAGGCGCCCCTAGAGATAGGCGCCCCTAGAGATAGGCGCCCATAGAGATAGGCGCCCAAAGAAATAGGCGCCCAAAGAGATAGGCGCCCCTAGAGATAGGCGCCCATAGAGATAGGCGCCCCTAGAGATAGCCGCCACTAGAGATAGGCATCCCTAGAGATAGGCGCCCCTAGAGATAGGCGCCCCTGGAGATAGGCGCCACTAGAGATAGGTGCCCCTAGAGGTAGGCGCCCCTAGAGATAGGCGCCCATAGAGATAGGCGCCCATAGAGATAGGCGCCCCTAGAGATAGGCGCCCATAGAGATAGGCGCCCATAGAGATAGGCGCCCATAGAGATAGGCGCCCATAGAGATAGGCGCCCATAGAGATAGGCGCCCATAGAGATAGACGCCCATAGAGATAGGCGCCCCTAGAGGTAGGCGCCCATAGAGATAGGCGCCCATAGAGATAGGCGCCCATAGAGATAGGCGCCACTAGAGATAGGCGCCCCCAGAGATAGGCGCCGCTAAAGATAGGCGCCCATAGAGATAGGCGCCCCTAGAGATAGGCGCCCATAGAGATAGGCGCCCATAGAGATAGGCGCCCCTATAGATAGGGGCCCCTAGAGATAGGCGCCCATAGAGATAGGCGCCCAAAGAGATAGGCACCCATAGAGATAGGCGCCCATAGAGATAGGCGCCCAAAGAGAAAGGCGCCCATAGAGATAGGCGCCCCTAGAGATAGGCGCCCATAGAGATAGGCACCACTAGAGATAGGCGCCCCTAGAGATAGGCGCCCATAGAGATAGGCGCCCGTAGAGAAAGGCGCCCATAGAGATATGCGCCCATAGAGATGGGCGCCCATAGAGATAGGCGCCACTAGAGATAGGCGCCCCTAGAGATAGGCGCCCATAGAGATAGGCGCCCAAAGAAATAGGCGCCCAAAGAGATAGGCGCCCCTAGAGATAGGCGCCCATAGAGATAGGCGCCCCTAGAGATAGGCGCACATAGAGATAGGCGCCCATAGAGATTGGCGCCCAAAGAGATAGGCGCCTCTGGAGATTGGCGCCCCTAAAGAGAGGCGCCCATAGAGAAAGGTGCACATAGAGATAAGCGCCCCTAGAGATAGGCGCCGCTAAAGATAGGCGCCCATAGAGATAGGCGCCCCTAGAGATAGGCGCCCATAGAGATAGGCGCCCATAGAGATAGGCGCCCATAAAGATAGGCGCCCCTAGAGATAGGCGCCCATAGAGATAGGCGCCCAAAGAGATAGGCACCCATAGAGATAGGCGCCCATAGAGATAGGCGCCCATAGAGATAGGCGCCCATAGAGATAGGCGCCCCTAGAGATAGGTGCCCATAGAGATAGGCGCCACTAGAGATAGGCGCCCCTAGAGATAGGCGCCCATAGAGATAGGCGCCCATAGAGATAGGCGCCCATAGAGATAGGCGCCCATAGAGATAGGCGCCCATAGAGATAGGCGCCCATAGAGATAGGCGCCCATAGAGATAGGCGCCCAAAGAGAAAGGCGCCCATAGAGATAGGCGCCCCTAGAAATAGGCGCCCATAGAGATAGGCGCCACTAGAGATAGGCGCCCCTAGAGATAGGCGCCCATAGAGATAGGCGCCCGTAGAGATAGGCGCCCATAGAGATATGCGCCCATAGAGATGGGCGCCCATAGAGATAGGCGCCCCTAGAGATAGGCGCCCCTAGAGATAGGCGCCCATAGAGATAGGCGCCCAAAGAAATAGGCGCCCAAAGAGATAGGCGCCCCTAGAGATAGGCGCCCATAGAGATAGGCGCCCCTAGAGATAGCCGCCACTAGAGATAGGCATCCCTAGAGATAGGCGCCCCTAGAGATAGGCGCCCCTGGAGATAGGCGCCACTAGAGATAGGTGCCCCTAGAGGTAGGCGCCCCTAGAGATGGGCGCCCATAGAGATAGGCGCCTCTAGAAATTGGCGCCCCTAAAGAGAGGCGCCCATAGAGATAGGCGCCTATAGAGATATGTGCCCCTAGAGACAGGCGCCCCTAGAGATAGACGCCCATAGAGATAGGCGCCCCTAGAGATAGGCGCCCAAAGAGATAGGCGCCACTAGAGATAGGCGCCCCTAGAGATAGGCACCCATAGAGATAGGCGCCCGTAGAGATAGGCGCCCATAGAGATAGGCGCCCATAGAGATAGGCGCCCATAGAGATAGGCGCCCCTAGAGATAGGCGCCCATAGAGATAGGCGCCCCTAGAGATAGCCGCCCCTAGAGATAGGCACCCCTAGAGATAGGCGCCCCTAGAGATAGGCGCCCCTGGAGATAGGCGCCACTAGAGATAGGTGTCCCTAGAGGTAGGCGCCCCTAGAGATGGGCGCCCATAGAGATAGGCGCCTCTAGAGATTGGCGCCCCTAAAGAGAGGCGCCCATAGAGATAGGCGCCTATAGAGATATGTGCCCCTAGAGATAGGCGCCCCTAGAGATAGACGCCCATAGAGATAGGCGCCCCTAGAGATAGGCGCCCATAGAGATAGGCGCCCATAGAGATAGGCGCCCCTAGAGATAGGCGCACATAGAGATAGGCGCCCATAGAGATTGGCGCCCAAAGAGATAGGCGCCTCTGGAGATTGGCGCCCCTGAAGAGAGGCGCCCATAGAGAAAGGTGCACATAGAGATAAGCGCCCCTAGAGATAGGCGCCGCTAAAGATAGGCGCCCATAGAGATAGGCGCCCCTAGAGATAGGCGCCCATAGAGATAGGCGCCCATAGAGATAGGCGCCCATAAAGATAGGCGCCCCTAGAGATAGGCGCCCATAGAGATAGGCGCCCAAAGAGATAGGCACCCATAGAGATAGGCGCCCATAGAGATAGGTGCCCATAGAGATAGGCGCCCATAGAGATAGGCGCCCCTAGAGATAGGTGCCCATAGAGATAGGCGCCACTAGAGATAGGCGCCCCTAGAGATAGGCGCCGCTAAAGATAGGCGCCCATAGAGATAGGCGCCCCTAGAGATAGGCGCCCATAGAGATAGGCGCCCATAGAGATAGGCGCCCCTAGAGAAAGGCGCCCCTAGAGATAGGCGCCCATAGAGATAGGCGCCCAAAGAGATAGGCACCCATAGAGATAGGCGCCCATACAGATAGGCGCCCATAGAGATAGGCGCCCATAGAGATAGGCGTCCCTAGAGATAGGCGCCCATAGAGATAGGCGCCACTAGAGATAGGCGCCCCTAGAGATAGGCGCCCATAGAGATAGGCGCCCGTAGAGATAGGCGCCCATAGAGATATGCGCCCATAGAGATAGGCGCCCATAGAGATAGGCGCCCCTAGAGATAGGCGCCCCTAGAGATAGGCGCCCATAGAGATAGGCGCCCAAAGAGATAGGCGCCCATAGAGATAGGCGCCCCTAGAGATAGGCGCCCATAGAGATAGGCGCCCCTAGAGATAGCCGCCCCTAGAGATAGGCATCCCTAGAGATAGGCGCCCCTAGAGATAGGCGCCCCTGGAGATAGGCGCCACTAGAGATAGGTGCCCCTAGAGGTAGGCGCCTCTAGAGATGGGCGCCCATAGAGATAGGCGCCTCTAGAAATTGGCGCCCCTAAAGAGAGGCGCCCATAGAGATAGGCGCCTATAGAGATATGTGCCCCTAGAGATAGGCGCCCCTAGAGATAGACGCGCATAGAGATAGGCGCCCCTAGAGATAGGCGCCCATAGAGATAGGCGCCCCTAGAGATAGGCGCCCTTAGAGATAGGCGCTTATAGAGATAGGCGCCGCTAAAGATAGGCGCCCATAGAGATAGGCGCCGCTAAAGATAGGCGCCCATAGAGATAGGCGCCCCTAGAGATAGGCGCCCCTAGAGATAGGCACCCATAGAGATTGGCGCCCCTAGAGATAGGCGCCCCTAGAGATAGACGCCCATAGAGATAGGCGCCCCTAGAGATAGGCGCCCATAGAGATAGGCGCCCATAGAGATAGGCGCTCATAGAGATAGGCGCCCCTAGAGATAGGCGCCCATAGAGATATGCGCCCCTAGAGATAGGCGCCCCTAGAGATAGGCGCCCCTAGAGATAGGCGCCCCTGGAGATAGGCGCCCATAGAGATAGGCGCCCCTAGAGATAGGCGCCACTAGAGATAGGCGCCCCTAGAGATAGGTGCCCATAGAGATAGACGCCCATAGAGATAGGCGCCCATAGAGATAGGCGCCCATAGAGATAGGCGCCCATAGAGATATGCGCCCATAGAGATAGGCGCCCATAGAGATAGGCGCCCCTAGAGATAGGCCCCCCTAGAGATAGGCGCCCATAGAGATAGGCGCCCAAAGAGATAGGCGCCCATAGAGATAGGCGCCCCTAGAGATAGGCGCCCATAGAGATAGGCGCCCCTGGAGATAGCCGCCCCTAGAGATAGGCACCCCTAGAGATAGGCGCCCCTAGAGATATGCGCCCCTGGAGATAGGCGCCTCTAGAGATAGGTGCCCCTAGAGGTAGGCGCCCCTAGAGATGGGCGCCCATAGAGATAGGCGCCTCTAGAGATTTGCGCCCCTAAAGAGACGCGCCCATAGAGATAGGCGCCCATAGAGATAGGTGCCCCTAGAGATGGGCGCCCTTAGAGATAAACACCCATAGAGATAGGCGCCCCTAGAGATAGGCGCCCATAGAGATAGACGCCCATAGAGATAGGCGCCCCTAGAGATAGGCGCCCCTAGAGATAGGGGCCCATAGAGATAGGCGCCCAAAGAGATAGGTGCCCATAGAGATAGGAGCCCCTAGAGATAGGCGCCCATAGATATAGGCGCCCCTAGCGATAGCCGCCCATAGCGATAGGCACCCCTAGAGATAGGCGCCCCTAGAGATAGGCGCCCCTGGAGATAGGCGCCCCTAGAGATAGGCGCCCATAGAGATAGGCGCCCATACAGATAGGCGCCCAAAAAGATAAGCGCCTCTAGAGATTGGCGCCCCTCAAGAGAGGCGCCCATAGAGATAGGCGCACATAGAGATAGGCGCCCCTAGAGATAGGCGCCCCTGGAGATAGGCGCCTATAGAGATGGGCGCTGCTAGAGATAGACGCCCATAGAGAGAAGCGCCCCTAGAGATAGGCGCCCATAGAGATAGGCGCCCATAGAGATAGGCACCCCTAGAGAAAGGCGCCCCTAGAGATAGGCGCCCATAGAGATAGGCGCCCAAAGAGATAGGCGCCCATAGAGGTAGGCGCCCATAGAGATAGGCGCCCATAGAGATAGGCGCCCATAGAGATAGGCGCCCCTAGAGATAGGCGCCCATAGAGATATGCGCCCCTAGAGATAGGCGCCCCTAGAGATAAGCGCCCAAAGAGATAGGCGCCCATAGAGTTGGCGCCCCTAGAGATAGCCGCCCCTAGAGATAGGCACCCCTAGAGATAAGCGCCCATAGAGATAGGCGCCCATAGAGATAGGCGCCCATAGAGATAGGCGCCCATAGAAATAGGCGCCCCTAGAGATAGGCGCCCATAGAGATAGGCGCCCATACAGATAGGCGCCCAAAAAGATAAGCGCCTCTAGAGATTGGCGCCCAAAGAGATAGGCGCCCATAGAGATAGGCGCACATAGAGATAGGCGCCCCTAGAGATAGGCGCCCCTGGAGATAGGCGCCTATAGAGATGGGCGCTGCTAGAGATAGACGCCCATAGAGATAAGCGCCCCTAGAGATAGGCGCCCATAGAGATAGGCGCCCATAGAGATAGGCACCCCTAGAGAAAGGCGCCCCTAGAGATAGGCGCCCATAGAGATAGGCGCCCAAAGAGATAGGCGCCCATAGAGGTAGGCGCCCATAGAGATAGGCGCCCATAGAGATAGGCGCCCATAGAGATAGGCGCCCCTAGAGATAGGCGCCCATAGAGATATGCGCCCCTAGAGATAGGCGCCCCTAGAGATAAGCGCCCAAAGAGATAGGCGCCCATAGAGTTGGCGCCCCTAGAGATAGCCGCCCCTAGAGATAGGCACCCCTAGAGATAAGCGCCCATAGAGATAGGCGCCCATAGAGATAGGCGCCCATAGAGATAGGCGCCCATAGAGATAGGCACCCCTAGAGAAAGGCGCCCCTAGAGATAGGCGCCCATAGAGATAGGCGCCCAAAGAGATAGGCGCCCATAGAGGTAGGCGCCCATAGAGATAGGCGCCCATAGAGATAGGCGCCCATAGAGATAGGCGCCCCTAGAGATAGGCGCCCATAGAGATATGCGCCCCTAGAGATAGGCGCCCCTAGAGATAAGCGCCCAAAGAGATAGGCGCCCATAGAGTTGGCGCCCCTAGAGATAGCCGCCCCTAGAGATAGGCACCCCTAGAGATAAGCGCCCATAGAGATAGGCGCCCATAGAGATAGGCGCCCGTAGAGATAGGCGCCCATAGAGATATGCGCCCATAGAGATAGGCGCCCATAGAGATAGGCGCCCCTAGAGATAGGCGCCCCTAGAGATAGGCGCCCATAGAGATAGGCGCCCAAAGAGATAGGCGCCCATAGAGATAGGCGCCAATAGAGATAGGCGCCCATAGAGATAGGCGCCCATAAAGATAGGCGCCCATAGAGATAGGCGCCCCTAGAGATAGGCAACCCTAGAGATAGGCGCCCATAGAGATAGGCGCCCATAGAGATAGGCGCCCCTAGAGATAGGCGCCCATAGAGATAGGCGCCCATAGAGATAGGTGCCCCTAGAGATTGGCGCCCATAGAGATTTGCGCCCCTAGAGATAGGCGCTCCTAGAGATAGGCGCCCATAGAGATAGGCGCCCCTAGAGATAGGCGCCCATAGAGATAGGCGCCCCTAGAGATAGGCGCCACTACAGATAGGCGCCCCTAGAGATAGGCGCCCATAGAGATAGGCACCCCTAGAGATAGGCGCCCATAGAGATAGGCGCCCCTAGAGATAGGCGCCCATAGAGATAGGCGCCCCTAGAGATAGGCGCCACTACAGATAGGCGCCCCTAGAGATAGGCGCCCATAGAGATAGGCACCCCTAGAGATAGGCGCCCATAGAGATAGGCGCTTATAGAGATAGGCGCCGCTAAAGATAGGCGCCCATAGAGATAGGCGCCGCTAAAGATAGGCGCCCATAGAGATAGGCGCCCCTAGAGATAGGCGCCCCTAGAGATAGGCAGCCATAGAGATTGGCGCCCCTAGAGATAGGCGCCCCTAGAGATAGACGCCCATAGAGATAGGCGCCCCTAGAGATAGGCGCCCATAGAGATAGGCGCCCATAGAGATAGGCGCTCATAGAGATAGGCGCCCCTAGAGATAGGCGCCCATAGAGATATGCGCCCCTAGAGATAGGCGCCCCTAGAGATAGGCGCCCCTAGAGATAGGCGCCCCTGGAGATAGGCGCCCATAGAGATAGGCGCCCCTAGAGATAGGCGCCACTAGAGATAGGCGCCCCTAGAGATAGGTGCCCATAGAGATAGACGCCCATAGAGATAGGCGCTCATAGAGATAGGCGCCCATAGAGATAGGCGCCCATAGAGATATGCGCCCATAGAGATAGGCGCCCATAGAGATAGGCGCCCCTAGAGATAGGCCCCCCTAGAGATAGGCGCCCATAGAGATAGGCGCCCAAAGAGATAGGCGCCCATAGAGATAGGCGCCCCTAGAGATAGGCGCCCATAGAGATAGGCGCCCCTGGAGATAGCCGCCCCTAGAGATAGGCACCCCTAGAGATAGGCGCCCCTAGAGATATGCGCCCCTGGAGATAGGCGCCTCTAGAGATAGGTGCCCCTAGAGGTAGGCGCCCCTAGAGATGGGCGCCCATAGAGATAGGCGCCTCTAGAGATTTGCGCCCCTAAAGAGACGCGCCCATAGAGATAGGCGCCCATAGAGATAGGTGCCCCTAGAGATGGGCGCCCTTAGAGATAAACGCCCATAGAGATAGGCGCCCCTAGAGATAGGCGCCCATAGAGATAGACGCCCATAGAGATAGGCGCCCCTAGAGATAGGCGCCCCTAGAGATAGGGGCCCATAGAGATAGGTGCCCAAAGAGATAGGTGCCCATAGAGATAGGAGCCCCTAGAGATAGGCGCCCATAGATATAGGCGCCCCTAGCGATAGCCGCCCATAGCGATAGGCACCCCTAGAGATAGGCGCCCCTAGAGATAGGCGCCCCTGGAGATAGGCGCCCCTAGAGATAGGCGCCCATAGAGATAGGCGCCCATACAGATAGGCGCCCAAAAAGATAAGCGCCTCTAGAGATTGGCGCCCCTAAAGAGAGGCGCCCATAGAGATAGGCGCACATAGAGATAGGCGCCCCTAGAGATAGGCGCCCCTGGAGATAGGCGCCTATAGAGATGGGCGCTGCTAGAGATAGACGCCCATAGAGATAAGCGCCCCTAGAGATAGGCGCCCATAGAGATAGGCGCCCATAGAGATAGGCACCCCTAGAGAAAGGCGCCCCTAGAGATAGGCGCCCATAGAGATAGGCGCCCAAAGAGATAGGCGCCCATAGAGGTAGGCGCCCATAGAGATAGGCGCCCATAGAGATAGGCGCCCATAGAGATAGGCGCCCCTAGAGATAGGCGCCCATAGAGATATGCGCCCCTAGAGATAGGCGCCCCTAGAGATAAGCGCCCAAAGAGATAGGCGCCCATAGAGTTGGCGCCCCTAGAGATAGCCGCCCCTAGAGATAGGCACCCCTAGAGATAAGCGCCCATAGAGATAGGCGCCCATAGAGATAGGCGCCCATAGAGATAGGCGCCCATAGAGATAGGCGCCCCTAGAGATATGCGCCCATAGAGATAGGCGCCCATACAGATAGGCGCCCAAAAAGATAAGCGCCTCTAGAAATTGGCGCCCAAAGAGATAGGCGCCCATAGAGATAGGCGCACATAGAGATAGGCGCCCCTAGAGATAGGCGCCCCTGGAGATAGGCGCCTATAGAGATGGGCGCTGCTAGAGATAGACGCCCATAGAGATAAGCGCCCCTAGAGATAGGCGCCCATAGAGATAGGCGCCCATAGAGATAGGCACCCATAGAGATAGGCGCCCATAGAGATAGGCGCCCCTAGAGATAGGCGCCCATAGAGATAGGCACCCATAGAGATAGGTGCCCCTAGAGATTGGCGCCCATAGAGATATGCGCCCATAGAGATAGGCGCCCATAGAGATAGGCGCCCATAGAGATAGGCGCCCATAGAGATAGGCGCCCCTAGAGATAGGCGCCCATAGAGATAGGCGCCCATAGAGATAGGCACCCATAGAGATAGGTGCCCCTAGAGATTGGCGCCCATAGAGATTTGCGCCCCTAGAGATAGGCGCTCCTAGAGATAGGCGCCCATAGAGATAGGCGCCCCTAGAGATAGGCGCCCATAGAGATAGGCGCCCCTAGAGATAGGCGCCACTACAGATAGGCGCCCCTAGAGATAGGCGCCCATAGAGATAGGCACCCCTAGAGATAGGCGCCCATAGAGATAGGCGCCCATAGAGATAGGCGCCCATAGAGATAGGCACCCCTAGAGATAGGCACCCCTTGAGATAGACGCCCATAGAGATAGCCGCCCCTAGAGATAGGCGCCCATAGAGATAGGCGCCCATAGAGATAGGTGCCCTTAGAGATTGGCGCCCATAGAGATATGCGCCCCTAGAGATAGGCACTCCTAGAGATAGGCGCCCCTAGAGATAGGCGCCCCTAGAGATAGGCGCCCATAGAGATAGGCGCCCCTAGAGATAGGCGCCACTAGAGATAGGCGCCCCTAGAGATAGGCGCCCATAGAGATAGGCACCCCTAGAGATAGGCGCCCATAGAGATAGGCGCCCATAGAGATAGGCGCCCATAGAGATAGGCGCCCATAGAGATAGGCGCCCATAGAGATAGGCGCCCATAGAGATAGGCGCCCATAGAGATAGGCGGCCCTAGAGATAGGCGCCCCTAGAGATAGGCGCCCATAGAGATAGGCGCCCATAGAGATAGGCGCCCATAGAGATAGGTGGCCCTAGAGATTGGCGCCCATAGAGATATGCGCCCCTAGAGATAGGCGCTCCTAGAGATAGGCAACCCTAGAGATAGGCGCCACTGGAGATAGGCGCCCCTAGAGATAGGCGCCCATAAAGATACGCGCCCATAGAGATAGGTGCCCCTAGAGATTGGCGCCCATAGAGATATGCGCCCCTAGAGATAGGGGCTCGTAGAGATAGGCGCCACTAGAGATAGGCGCCCCTAGAGATAGGCGCCCACAGAGATAGGCACCCCTAGAGATAGGCACCCATAGAGATAGGCGCCCATAGAGATAGGCGCCCATAGAGATTGGCGCCCATAGAGATAGGCGCCCATAGAGATAGGCGCCCATAGAGATAGGCACCCATAGAGATAGGCGCCCATAGAGATAGGTGCCCATAGAGAAAGGCGCCCATAGAGATAGGCGCCCCTAGAGATAGGCGCCCCTAGAGATTGGCGCCCATAGAGATAGGCGCCCATAGAGATAGGCGCCCCAAGAGATAGGCGCCCATAGAGATAGGCGCCCATAGAGATAGGCACCCATAGAGATAGGTGCCCCTAGAGATTGGCGCCCATAGAGATATGCGCCCCTAGAGATAGGCGCTTCTAGAGATAGGCGCCCCTAGAGATAGGCGCCCCTAGAGATAGGCGCCCATAGAGATAGGCGCCCCTAGAGATAGGCGCCACTAGAGATAGGCGCCCCTAGAGATAGGCGCCCATAGAGATAGGCACCCCTAGAGATAGGCGCTCATAGAGATAGGCGCCCCTAGAGATAGGCGCCCATAGAGATAGGCGCCCATAGAGATAGGCGCCCATAGAGATAGGCGCCCATAGAGATAGGCGCCCATAGAGATAGGCGCCCATAGAGACAGGCGCCCATAGAGATAGGCGCCCATAGAGATAGGCGCCCATAGAGATAGGCGCCCATAGAGATAGGCGCCCATAGAGATAGGCGCCCATAGAGATAGGCGCCCCTAGAGATAGGCGCCCCTAGAGATAGGCGCCCATAGAGATAGGCGCCCATAGAGATAGGCGCCCCTAGAGATAGGCGCCCATAGAGATAGGTGCCCCTAGAGATTGGCGCCCATAGAGATATGCGCACCTAGAGATAGGCGCTCCTAGAGATAGGCGCCCCTAGAGATAGGCGCCCCTAGAGATAGGCGCCCATAGAGATAGGCGCCCCTAGAGATAGGCGCCACTACAGATAGGCGCCCCTAGAGATAGGCGCCCTTAGAGATAGGCACCCCTAGAGATAGGCGCCCATATAGATAGGCGCCCATAGAGATAGGCGCCCATAGAGATAGGCACCCCTAGAGATAGGCGCCCCTTGAGATAGACGCCCATAGAGATAGCCGCCCCTAGAGATAGGCGCCCATAGAGATTGGCGCCCATAGAGATAGGTGCCCTTAGAGATTGGCGCCCATAGAGATATGCGCCCCTAGAGATAGGCGCTCCTAGAGATAGGCGCCCCTAGAGATAGGCGCCCCTAGAGATAGGCGCCCATAGAGATAGGCGCCCCTAGAGATAGGCGCCACTAGAGATAGGCGCCCCTAGAGATAGGCGCCCATAGAGATAGGCACCCCTAGAGATAGGCGCCCATAGAGATAGGCGCCCATAGAGATAGGCGCCCATAGAGATAGGCGCCCATAGAGATAGGCGCCCATAGAGATAGGCGCCCATAGAGATAGGCGCCCATAGAGATAGGCGCCCATAGAGATAGGTGCCCATAGAGATAGGCGCCCATAGAGATAGGCGCGCATAGAGATAGGCGCCCATAGAGATAGGCGCCCATAGAGATAGGCGCCCATAGAGATAGGCGCCCATAGAGATAGGCGCCCATAGAGATAGGCGCCCCTATAGATAGGCGCCCCTAGAGATAGGCGCCCATAGGGATAGGCGCCCATAGAGATAGGCGCCCATAGAGATAGGCGCCCCTAAAGATAGGCGCCCATAGAGATAGGCGCCCCTAGAGATAGGCGCCCATAGAGATAGGCGCCCATAGAGATAGGCGCCCATAGAGATAGGCGCCCCTAGAGATTGGCGCCCATAGAGATATGCGCCCCTAGAGATAGGCGCTCCTAGATATAGGCGCCCCTAGAGATAGGCGCCCCTAGAGATAGGCGCCCATAGAAATAGGCGCCCCTAGAGATAGGCGCCACTAGAGATAGGCGCCCCTAGAGATAGGCGTCCATAGAGATAGGCACCCCTAGAGATAGGCGCCCATAGAGATAGGCGCCCATAGAGATAGGCGCCCATAGAGATAGGCGCCCATAGAGATAGGCGCCCATAGAGGTAGGCGCCCATAGAGATAGGCGCCCAAAGAGATAGGCGCCCATGGAGATAGACGCCCATAGAGATAGGCGCCCACAGAGATAGGCGCCCATAGAGATAGGCGCCCCTAGAGATAGGCGCCCATAGAGAGATGCGCCCCTAGAGATAGGCACCCCTAGAGATAGGCGCCCCTAGAGATAGGCGCCCCTAGAGATAGGTGCCCATAGAGATAGGCGCCCCTAGAGATAGGCGCCACTAGAGATAGGCGCCCCTAGAGATAGGCGCCCATAGCGATAGGCGCCCATAGAGATAGGCGCCCAAAGAGATTGGCGCCCGTAGAGATAGGCGCCCATAGAGATAGGCGCCCATAGAGATAGGCGCCCATAGAGATAGGTGCCCCTAGAGATTGGCGCCCATAGAGATAGACGCCCATAGAGATAGGCGCCTCTAGAGATAGGCGCCTCTAGGGGCGCATATCTCTATGGGCGCCAATCTCTAGGGGCACCTATCTCTATGGGCGCCTATCTCTATGGGCGCCTATCTCTATGGGCGCCTATCTCTATGGGCGCCTATCTCTTTGGGCGCCTATCTCTATGGGTGCCTATCTCTAGGGGCGCCTATCTCTAGGGGCGCCTATCTCTATGGGCGCCTATCTCTATGGGCGCCTATCTCTATGGGCGCCTATCTCTATGGGCGCCTATCTCTATGGCCGCCTATCTCTAGGGCCGCCTATCTCTAGTGGCGCCTATCTCTAGGGGCGCCTATCTCCATGGGCGCCTATCTCTAGGGGCGCCTATCTCTAGGGGCGCCTATCTCTATGAGCGCCTATCTCTAGGGGCGCATATCTCTATGGGCGCCAATCTCTAGGGGCACCCATCTCTATGGGCGCCTATCTCTATGGGCGCCTATCTCTATGGGCGCCTATCTCTATGGGCGCCTATCTCTTTGGGCGCCTATCTCTATGGGCGCCTATCTCTATGGGCGCCTATCTCTAGGGGCGCCTATATCTAGTGGCACCTATCTCTAGGGGCACCTATCTCTATGGGCGCCTATCTCTAGGGGCGCCTATCTCTAGGGGCGCCTATCTCTAGGGGTGCCTATCTCTAGGGGCGCATATCTCTATGGGCGCCTATCTCTAGGGGCGCCTATCTCTATGGCCGCCTATCTCTATGGGCGCCTATCTCTATGGGCGCCTATCTCTATGGGCGCCTACCTCTATGGGCGCATATCTCTATGGGCGCCTATCTCTATGGGCGCTTATCTCTATGGGCGCCTATCTCTATGGGCGCCTATCTCTAGGGGTGCCTATCTCTATGGACGCCTATCTCTAGGGGTGCCTATCTCTAGGGGCGCATATCTCTATGGGCGCCTATCTCTAGGGGCGCCTATCTCTATGGCCGCCTATCTCTAAGGGCACCTATCTCTATGGGCGCCTATCTCTATGGGCGCCTACCTCTATGGGTGCCTATCTCTATGGGCGCCTATCTCTATGGGCGCCTATCTCTATGGGCGCCTATCTCTATGGGCGCCTATCTCTAGGGGTGCCTATCTCTATGGACGCCTATCTCTAGGGGCGCCTATCTCTAGTGGCGCCTATCTCTAGGGGCGCCTATCTCTATGGGCGCCTATCTCTAGGGGCGCCTATCTCTAGGGGCGCCTATCTCTAGGAGCGCCTATCTCTAGGGGCGCATATCTCTATGGGCGCCAATCTCTAGGGGCACCTATCTCTATGGACGCCTATCTCTATGGGCGCCTATCTCTATGGGCGCCTATCTCTAGGGGCGCCTATCTCTATGGGCGCCTATCTTTAGGGGCGCCTATCTCTATGGGCGCCTATCTCTATGGGCGTATATCTCTATGGGCGCCTATCTCTAGGGGCGCCTCTCTCTAGGGGCGCCTATCTCTATGGGCGCCTATCTCTATGGGCGCCTATCTCTATGGGCGCCTATCTCTATGGGCGCCTATCTCTATGGGCGCCTATCTCTATGGGCGCCTATCTCTATGGGCGCCTATCTTTATGGGCGCCTATCTCTATGGGCGCCTATCTCTATGGGCGCCTATCTCTAGGGGCGCCTATCTCTATGGACACCTATCTCTAGGGGCGCCTATCTCTAGTGGCGCATATCTCTAGGGGCGCCTATCTCTAGTGGCGCCTATCTCTAGGGGCGACTATCTCTATGGGCTCCTATCTCTAGGGGCGCCTATCTCTAGGGGCGCCTATCTCTAGGAGCGCCTATCTCTAGGGGCGCATATCTCTATGGGCGCCAATCTCTAGGGGCACCTATCTCTATGGACGCCTATCTCTATGGACGCCTATCTCTATGGGCGCCTATCTCTAGGGGCGCCTATCTCTATTGTCGCCTATCTTTAGGGGCGCCTATCTCTATGGGCGCCTATCTCTATGGGCGCCTATCTCTATGGGCGCCTATCTCTAGGGGCGCCTATCTCTAGGGGCGCCTATCTCTATGGGCGCCTATCTCTATGGGCGCCTATCTCTATGGGCGCCTATCTCTATGGGCGCCTATCTCTTTGGGCGCCTATCTCTATGGGCGCCTATCTCTATGGGCGCCTATCTCTATGGGCGCCTATCTCTATGGGCGCCTATCTCTAGGGGCGCCTATCTCTAGTGGCGCCTATCTCTAGGGTTGCCTATCTCTAGGAGCGCCTATCTCTAGGGGCGCATATCTCTATGGGCGCCAATCTCTAGGGGCACCTATCTCTATGGGCACCTATCTCTATGGGCGCCTATCTCTATGGGCGCCTATCTCTAGGGGCGCCTATCTCTAGGGGCGCCTATCTCTATGGGCGCCTATCTCTATGGGTGCCTCGCGCCTATCTCTAGAGGCGCCTATCTCTATGGACACCCATCTCTAGGGACGCCGATCTCTGAGGGCGCCTATCTCTAGGGGCGCCTATCTCTAGGGTCGCTTGCCTCTATGGACGCCTACCTCTAGGGGCGCCTCTCTAGGGGCGCCTATATCTAGGGGCTCCTATCCCTAGGGGCGCCTATCTCTAGGGGCGCCTATCTCTAGGGGCGCCTATCTCTAGGGGCGCCTATCTCTAGGGGCGCCTGTCTCTAGGGGCGCCTATCTCTATGGGCGCCTATCTCTATGGTCGCCTATCTCTAGGGGCGCCTGTCTATATGTGCGCCTATCTCTAGGGGCGCCTATCTCTAGGGGCGCCTAGCTCTAGGGGCGCCTATCTCTATGAGCGCCTATCTCTATGGGCGCCTATCTCTATGGGCACCTCTCTTTAGGGGCGCCAATCTCTAGAGGCGCCTATCTCTATGAGCGCCCCTCTTTACGGGCGCCTATCTCTAGGGGCACCTATCTCTAGGGGCGCCTATCTCCAGGGGCGCCTATCTCTAGGGGCGCCATCTCTATGGGCTCCTATCCCTAAGGGCGCCTATCTCTATGGGCGCCTATCTCTAGGGGCGCCTCTCTCTAGGGGCGCCTATCTCTAGGGGCGCCTATCTCTATGGGCGCCTACCTCTATGGGCGCCTATCTCTAGAGGCGCCTATCTACAGAGGCGCCTATCTCTAGGGGGCCCTATCTCTAGGGGCGACTATCTCTAGGGGCGCCTATCTCTATGGGCACCTATCTCTATGGGCGCCTATCTCTATGGGCGCCTATCTCTATGGGCGCCTACCTCTATGGGCGCCTATCTCAAGAGGCGCCTATCTATAGGGGCGCCTATCTCTAGGGGCCCCTATCTCTAGGGGCGACTATCTCTAGGGGCGCCTATCTCTATGGGCGCCTATCTCTAGGGGCGCCTATCTGTATGGGCGTCTATCTCTAGAGGCGCCTATCTCTATGGGCGCCTATCTCTAGGGGCGCCTGTCTCTAGGGGCGCCTATCTCTATGGGCGCCTATCTCTATGGGCGCCTATCTCTAGGGGCGCCTATCTCTATGGGCGCCTATCTCTATGGGCGCCTCGCGCCTATCTCTAGAGGCGCCTATCTCTATGGGCTCCCATCTCTAGGGGCGCCTATCTCTGAGGGCACCTATCTCTAGGTGCGCCTATCTCTATGGGCGCCTATCTCTGGGGGCGCCTGTCTCTAGGGGGGCCTATCTCTAGGGGCACCTATCTATAGGGGTGCCTATCTCTATGCGCGCCTATCTCTAGGGGTGCCTATCTCTAGGGGCGCCTATCTCCAGCGGCGCCTATCTCTAGGGGCGCCTATCTCTATGGGCGCCTATCTCTATGGGTGCCTCGCGCCTATCTCTAGAGGCGCCTATCTCTATGGGCACCCATCTCTAGGGACGCCGATCTCTGAGGGCGCCTATCTCTAAGGGCACCTATCTCTATGGGCGCCTATCTCTAGGGGCGCCTTTCTCTAGGGGCGCCTATCTCTAGGGGGGCCTATCTCTAGGGGCGCCTATCTCTAGGGGCGCCTATCTCTATGGGCTCTTATCTCTAAGGGCGCCTATCTCTATGGGCGCCTATCTCTATGGGCGCCTATCTCTAGGGGCGCCTATCTCTAGGGGCGCCTATCTCTAGGGGCGCCTATCTCTAGAGGCGCCTATCTCTAGGGGCGCCTATCTCTAGGGGCGCCTATCTCTGAGGGCGCCTATCTCTAGGGGCGCCTATCTCTATGGGCGCCTATCTCTAGGGGCGCCTCTCTCTAGGGGCGCCTATCTCTTAGGGCGCCTATCTCTAGGGGCGCCTATTTCTATGGGCGCCTATCTCTATGGGCGCCTATCTCTAGGGGCCCCTATCTCTAGGGGCGCCTATCTCTATGGGCTCCTATCCCTAAGGGCGCCTATCTCTATGGGCGCCTATCTCTATGGGCGCCTAACTCTAGGGGCGCCTATCTCTAGGGGCGCCTATCTCTATGGGCGCCTATCTCTATGGGCGCCTATCTCTAGAGGAGCCTATCTATAGGGGCGCCTATCTCTAGGGACCCGTATCTCTAGGGGCGCCTATCTGTATGGGCGCCAATCTCTATGGGCGCCTCGCGCCTATCTATAGAGGCGCCTATCTCTATGGGCACCCATCTCTAGGGGCGCCTATCTCTGAGGGCGACTATCTCTAGGGGCGCCTATCTCTATGGGCGCCTATCTCTAGGGGCGCCTTTCTCTAGGGATGCCTATCTCTTGGGGGGCCTATCTC